TACATCTTTGTCCCGTCCACTCGACTTATTCGAGTGGTGGACCTTCGGCGCAGCCTGTGTTTCCTCACAGCCGCCGGAACTTTGCTCGAAGTGTAACCGTTTGGTACACTAAGGTTTTGTGCAGTCGTACTAACGACCGTACCACAAGTGAGGCCATCGCACTCACTCGTAGTACATCCACACGCTTGTGGACGCTCCAAAACGTTCATCAGATGGCCATCTGATGAACAAGCGGCAGGCATCGTTACTGTCCGATGTTGCCAGTTTACCCGTGGTCCGTACCTTCTGAGCCACGGTATTCCAAGGATGACATCAAATTTATCATCCAAATCCAATACGATAAAGTCATCGTCGTATTGGGTATCTTCTAGCGTATAGTGAATCTTCACTATACGCTTCATGACGGTTACGGATGCGCCTGTCGCAAGACGTACCGTCATCCTCGTAGGAGGTGTGTCACATTCACTGAATTTAAAGTGACCATCTTCTAGCGATTGGCGTCGCACAAAATTGTTGGACGCCCCACAATCGACTAGAGCTCGAAGGGACGACTTATTCGTCACTTCGAGTTTCAAGGTAATGAGTGAGATCTCATTACCTAGAGCAGCAACGCACAATGTCTGTGTGTTGGGAGCAACCTTCATCAAGAGGCCTACAAATTCTCTTGACGTTGCTGGATCAGTAGGGTGCTCCGCACCTACTGATCCTGTCCGTTTTTGACGGTCCTTCCCGTTGTTGCGTCTTTGCACCAACTGCGGACCCTCGTCCCTGCCCCTTTCTCATGGGTGGACGGTCACTACGCCCAGTGTCGCGAGACACTGGACGAGGGGCACTACACTCGTAAGCGTAGTGTCCTGTCTTTTGACATCTGTTGCATCTCTGCAACTTCTTGTAGCCTGTAGAGCGAGCCTTCTCGCTCTCTACATAACAGAGTTCCATCGGCTCTGGACCTCCGTTGTCATATCGTCTCGGTTGACGATATGATGTCGAGCTGGCGCGAGCCTGTCTCAGACTGAAGTCTTCCTGCTCCGCAATTGAAATGGCTTGTTCTAGTGAATCTAGTTCAAGCCGGAACAGGTGAGTCTTGACGGGACCATCCGCAAGACCCTGCATGAACACCGAAACCAACGTGTGTTCATCCACCGGATTGGAACTTATACAACTCGTAAGATGTCGTATATGTTGCGCGTAAGCGTGCACATCACGCTTACCCTGCTTGAGCTTCAAGAGTTCGGTTCGAGCTCTGAACTCAGCTCTAGGCGGTTCAAACGTTTGTCTGAGCCGCGACTTGAAGACTTCCAACGACCCAAACGCATATGGGTCGTGCAGCTTGAGCCCCAGTGCCCAAGTCTTGGCACGTCCTGCCAGATTTGACTGGGCAAATGCAACTTGCATATCCCCGTCGTCGATGCGACGCGCCCTTATGGCGTCATCCAATTCGACGAACCATCTCAAGAGGGAGTCTTCTTCGACCCCCTATACTTTGAGATGTCAATCTTCAAAGTCTCGGGCCGACGCGAGTGCATCGACCCGCCAGCAGCAGCCTGCTGCTGTCTCAACAGTTCAAACTGTTGAGCACCTTGTTCTCTCAACAACTCTGCTTGTTGAGAACCTTGTTGGTGAAGCAAGGCTACTTTCTCGCGTTCAGCGTCAAGTTCATTTTGAATGAACTTGGCGATAGTAGCATGTTGGGCATCTCTATTGAGAGCCTCTAGCATGACGCTAACAGCATGGATGCCCATGGTCGAACCCATTCGTTCAACCGCATCCCATTCGACATCTCTCAAATGGGAGTAGCCGTCACGCGTAGCGTGAAAGCTTTGGTCATCTTCATCATCCAACATATTCATGTTGGATGTGAACGCGGTCCTTGGACGGACTACGAAGTGCTACCAGGTGTAACGGGGCACCCTGAAGCTTGTACTGGTGACAGTACAAGCTACTTATTCTGATGACAGAATAAGGCGGTGCCTCGTAACTTCACGTACACTCGTACGTGCAGAGGAAGACGGTAAGAAGAAGCGAGTACTCGGTTAGAGTAAAAAGTAGAACTGTATTTGTAATAGTTAATGTCTGCAATAAATCACTATTTATCTTCATCTAACTATGTCTAAATACAAATGTGTAAATCAGTTATCTGCTCACCACTCATTGCGTGCGTCTGTCGTGGCGCGTCTTCGTTGGTTGATATAATGGCCTATATCAACCAATTAGGAACTACTTGGAAGTGCTACAGAATATTGTCCTTATGACAATATTCTGAGAATATAACTCTTATAGTTATATTCTATTAACAATTTCTTATAAATTGTTATGTAACGATTCACCCCGTTACAAGTCTTCATTCCGATCTATACGAGATCGTCATAATTGGAATACAATTTCCCTGTCAGTTCATCTGGATGAAAAACGTCCAGGATTGTTCAACAAGCTTATTATTGGCATTGTTCAACACGCCCCACTTTTGCTGAATGCACCCCATACACCACATATGTACTGCACCTTCATCTAGTTGGTACGACGAATATCGCGCCTACCTACCTTCACTCGACTAGTTCCGCACAACAATCTTCATCTGTCGTACAAATGGTGAGTGGTTAACCAAGCAAACTTCTTTTGGCACACAATAGACTATTGAAGCACTTTGCTTTCGTAAACGAATCGACCACGACGCGCTCGTCACTACATGTCGGATACATCGAAATGCTATTTGTTTCCAAAAGAAAGGGCAACAGCCATGTTTCAGTTGAGAAAGACACAAAAGTGAATGGAACAAAGGCTCACGTATCACCGAACGTCATTGCGGCGAAAGTTACCTTTCGGAACGATAAATTATATCATGCAGCTACATGTATTTTGATCGAGTCTATCCTGGATCTGCGTTAGGACTAGGTCATTCCGATCAAATAGTAAAATGCTGGTGTAGCTGCACGACACGTATCCGATCTCAATCGTCCGATTTTGGCGTGTAAGGTCTCTCACCTTACACGCCAATAAGGCCTCTTCTCATTAGGTGTCTTCGCACGCATCTTGTATTTGGTCTATGGCCCTGTAGTCCCGAAGGACCAGTGTAATCAATATTTGGACCCCCAGAACAACATGCGACGAGGTCGTAACGCTCACCCTGCAAGATGCTGCAACCGTGCGATCGATGGTTTTCTTCACGATTTTGTTCAATATTATTTCCACCTATCGATTTAAATTCTGCGCGTTAGTGGTTGACGACGACGGGGGCTGTTTGCAAGCTGGTTTTTGACCGACGCGCTGGCCATTTCGCAGAAATGAGATAGACTGGTAAAATCACTTACCATTTGTACAACAGACGCAGCTTGTTGTGCGATCGTGGTCGTACGAAGGTAGGTAGGTGCGATATCTGTCATACAAATTATGTGGTGGTGCTGAACGGGTGTAGTGCATGGGGTGTATTTAGTTAAAATAGGACGTATTTACGATACCCTTTATTTATTTGGCATGCCGTAACGGAGGAAAGTGGTAACGACGACGTAGGTCTGTGCGACACAATCATCAAGCTGAATGATGTCCAGAACGCACCTGCGCTAAGCGAATGTCTAATGTCCGACTGAGTGTATGTGTGCATTATATGCACCTTCCGTCCCTGGTGATTACTCCACAACCGCATATCTAACTCCGTGTCAATCAGAAACGCTCACAAGGTCCGACCGATGCATAGCTTATATAGACGATGTTGCTTCCGATGAGTTCCGAGTGGTGCTGCAACAAAAGTTGCATGATCAAGTCACTTTCTCATTGAGGTTCGTGCTCGCGTGATATCCTGATTCACCGATGCCTTAATTGACACTGTCAATGCTCATGCACGGTTCCAGAATATTAAGTAGCCTCGTGTTTGCATAAGAGAGCCTGGATAGATGATTGCTGCGTTGAGGTCAAGCAGAACGGATTGAGCTCATCAACGATCTTACTAATGCGAGTACTTTCGAAGCTGAGGGGCCAAATTGGATGATAGATGGAAGAGCATCGAACAAAATAGTAGTAACACATTTGAAAGCGGAGCATAGCCTCACCAGCATGACAGATGTATACGAGAACCTAATGATAGTTGTTGCAGTCACGATTGCGGGACTGCCCAGCTGCCGTGTTTCATGTTGACACAACAGATGTTGGTACTGGTTTCGAGACGGACGGACAAACTGCTGGAAAGTATCCTGGTCGTCCTAGCAGCGTATGGCTTCTAACCAAGAAACTTCTTCACAATTGTTTGAATTGTTATGTTTCTTAGTTTCAGATCTACTGGGCCTCATCAATTCTGATAAACCTTTTATGCCAGGTCCGACGATGCTTGACGACACCATTACGGGTGCCATTTATAGTCAACTTCGCTTGTGGAACAAAATTCGATGGCGACGATTTCGAGCACTGTGACATGAGTGCTCTAGTCCACATGAATACACGTTTCCTTCTTGCACGCGCTGCTTTTCACAATGGCGAAATAATGCGCGAGTGAACGCTTCGTCACCAGAACTAGCCGCGATCAATTTCCTACATGCTGCTGACAAGGATGCAAGAAATAGCGCGCGTGCGTCCACAAGCGCCTATCTGATACGTCTTGGTCACCTGCGCCACCTGCAGAAAGCACTTTCCACAATAATCTAGAGCACTGATCTTGAAAACGTCTACACGCTCTCATTGGATAACCATTGACAGCCATGTCGGACAGAGCTTCTTTTTTTACCGTAGACCATGAGTGCTGTTTGCTCGCTTCCTACGACTCCTGCATCCCGTAGAGTAAGTTTTTAACTTCGTATCGTCCATGCAACAATGGGACTGAGATCTCAATGTATGACAAAGACTATCAAGTTGTATATTCCGACTAAAGTTACGGTCAGCCAAACGTATCCAACTCTGCGTCAATGAAGCACCGAAAAAGGAACAGTGTTTCGCTGTATCTACTACCCGCTCCTCCCACGTACTTCGAGACAACGTTAGAGTAGGTAGACATCCTGAGCCCGGCCACGCTTCAATCACACATTAGTAATGTATGTTGTGTGAACTTCCAGAACCCCCGCGGCAACCAGAACTTGTTTTTGATCGCTATAATATTTCCGCACCTTATCTTTGAGAGCGTAGTCAATGTTGGGGCATACCTTGATATAGTCCATATACAACTGAAGAGTGCTCAAATAAGCTTCTGCTGCGCCGTCCTTACCATACACTTCCAAAAAGTCTCTTTTCATACCGGCCGTCAAAATTTCATCCACTTCTGCTAGGGTCAACCTTGACTTTACCCATTGATCAATCATTGGACCCCATTCGCTGGTCGGGAATTTCCTGAACAGAATTCCCTGCATGCTGTCGGCATGATGCTTCATGTTAGGGCTCCCACGAAACGAATGAAAAGCTTTCATCAGTTCTTCGGGTTGTACACGAGGTTGTGTTTTCCCATCCCTCGCAACAGGTTTCGTCAGATAGTCGATGAATTCTTCGTAAGTCCAGCGACAATCCTGAGCTGAAAACTCTTCATCTAGCAGCAAGACGAACTTCCTTTGATCCATGACCGTCCACTGTTTGAAGTACTTCTTTACTTTCATGCGCTTGAGAGTATCCTGGATGGGCTTCTTCAGCTGCGAAGGCATTATATCCAAGATCGCCTCCACCACCTTAAAGATCGTGTCCGACAGAATTGACAGGGAAGATGACCTTTCTTCGTTGTTCTGGCCTTGGAAGTCGGTTTCGTCCAAAGCGGGTCCGTGTGGCTTGTTATGCCTTGATGCGACGGGCGAGTTTTTCTTCTTTATGTGAGGAACATCATCGGACGAGAGGTGAGCGGTTTGGTCGGTCTGAGTACCGTCATTGGCTATCAACTGGGATGTTTTCCAACCGTGAACGACGATGACAATGAGCACGTAGCAGAGCGAGCGCATTCTGGTGCTCGATCAATGGCTGTCAATTTGCGAATCGGAGAACTGACAGATTCACTCCCTTTTTGGTTAGATTCCCTCCTTACTTTTTCGTTACGGATACCATCGATGCGAAGCACACCGGTTGGTCAATTTGCATACTACAATTTGCCCAATTTTTCCCATCAGTTTTTAATCTCAACTCTAGAGCAACACAAACTAACTACTATTTTAAGCGCGGAACACAATTTGGGATTATCAACGGGATGTACGCTTGAAGCATGCTTCCTTATCCATAGGCTTAATAATGTACAAGCTAAGAGGAATCATCGTCAGTAGCAAATAGTGGGATCGTTAGTGAAGGGTGTGCAGTGAATACAAACGTAGTCGCCAGGCTAAGTATACAGCGAAATTGTGACCGTAGCGGTGACAACGTGCCCCGGCTAAAAGTTTTGATAACAAAAGACGGCGAATCGGCGTCAGTGCTCTGTTCTACTCAATGAATTTATTTTATGCAATCGGAAATTGGAAGCTGAAGATAATAGTCTGCACTCACAATTAACAAGCACCGTTTTCTCTTTCGACACATTCAATTGACTGCGAGCCCGAAGGGTGAAGCTATTAGTGTGCGCAGGTTGAATGCCAAGCTTTTAATTGTACTTATGTGTCTGTGTGTGTCGGTGATAACGCGGAGAGATGTACCTTGAATCGTACTTATCTGTCTATGTGTGTCGGTGATAACGCGGTGAGATGTACCTTGAATCGTACTTATCTGTCTGTGTGTGTCGATAAAGGTGTACCTTATTCTTACTCTGTGCGATCTGGCCTGACCCCATCATAGATATGTAGGCACTCTTCGGCTAGGTCACTGTTGTGATGAACGCACGTGATAAGCTCAAAATCGACCAAAGGTGACTATTATCATGTAAGCAAACACTGTACGCTCGTAAGCAAAGGCTATCGCGATGCATGAGTATATTCTGGGTTATTTTAGACATTGACAGCATCACACATCTTCTTTAGTGACTGCTGCTGTTGTGTAGTATTTGCAACTTGAGTCAGTTCTATGAACTGGCTTACTAATATCAAGGGGCGAGCTCCAGAGCTTGCTCCCCTATCTTTTACGTTACTCATGCGCAGGTGGAAACAAGTAAAGCATATGACTAAATGGGGGTGTAACACCGGCTGCAAATTTACCTTTGATAATGACGAAAGTTGACATCTCTGCAAACTTGCGCAGTACACAGAATGTACAATTTTATGAGCAACTTGCAATATTGCTCCAACATAAACTGTACTTGGTGATACTTATGGAGTGCAATCTATCCAGCTAGTGGATTTGAAAGCACCAATGGCCTGAGTTTTGCTCACCCGAAAAGGTTCAAGGTTGATTATTGATACAATTAATCTGTTGTGATTGACTGCACGTACATACCCAGCCGATCTCGAACGGCTCTTCTACACTTCATCGGATCAACAGCTTTTGGCACAACATTCACAGTGGATATGGCTACCCGGCCATGGAAATATGGTAACTATGAGATGTGTGGGCAATACCACTCGAACATTTTTAACACAACAACGCTGACCGTGGACTGAATCGCACATGACGCAGATAAGGCGTTATTCTTTGACCGATCCAATTTTTTTTGCTCTTGGTGTTAACTGAACGCATTTTTTGAATGGAAGAATCCGACCAAAAAGAGAGTAAATCAATTAATGCGGAATAAAATGACACAAATTCGTTCGATCTCAGGCCATTGATTATAAATTGAAGAGCAAGCTCTAAGCTCACCTTTTGCACACGTAGTTCGTCCGAAGCACCTCATTTTATCTTGCAAAGAAGCAGATATAATAGGTGATGTATACTATTCTTCGCATATCCTTCCTGAGACCGCAATATAAATCGAGGATCTCGTCGCTCGCCTAGCTCTCGTATCTGTAATGCAAATATGATTGAAAATCGGAATGCAATTCAGTTCTTGTTATCGATAGAGCCAGATACTATCATTACTAGGGAGCCGTGAACCACCCACATGGTTTTCATTTACAGTATCACCCACCACTCTTATCGCTGACCAGAATTATTGGGTTTTGGAGTCTTCTGAATGGTAAACCGATAAAGTCACCGTCCTCACAATTACTACCTATCTCATGTATGAACAGTCCAGAACTAGAACTGGAGATTCTGACAAACGTACTGGCAATAATTGAGATGAATTCCACACCATGAAAACTTTGACACGGTTTCAGTTCTTACACGGGGCTCCGACAAATAGTGATGTCGACTATTACGGAAAGGTCTACACTCCTGGCCAAAAAAGACCACCAATGTTCTGTTTGTATCTCTGCGACTATCTCGAGCTGAAGGCTGCTATTTGAACAAGTGCGTGATAGTGTTAGATAGTGTAATGGTAAACGACTGCTTTTTTAGCAGTTTTTGTTGGGTCTCCTATACAAACGACAAAATTTGCAGCTGGCCAAAAGAACATGATCCCTTCCATACAAAAACCAAGACTAAAGCATGACAAAATGACTGCTGCTGCTCGAGAATGGGTTTTCCAACCACGACCCGATGACTTCGCGGCAGCGTTTTGAAATGTAGTCAATGAGCGTGCACAAGGTGTCCAAATCGGTAGCTGCCCATTCAGACAAAACAGCCGAATGAAGCTCGATGACACTGTAAAATTGCTTACGTTATGCCCAATACTCGCGACGAAGCCTTGCTAAAACGATGCAAGCATAACTGTTTAGGGGAACGACATATGTGACGGTTGGAGAGCTGACCTGTCGTAGGGGCAAATCCATTGACGGTCGAACCTGCACAGTAATGGAATGGCGTTCGTACCAAAGGGAATCGCTAAAAATCGAAATAAGGAAATCTAATTCTCGACTAAAAAATCGGTTGTGACATTTTCAACAGCTTCAACGCGACCTATCGAGTCTGATCTACCTTTTTTGCGCACAGCCGGGACAACTTCGCGATATACCGGTACATGGCCTCTGAAGCTTTCCCGCGTTTTCCAAGCACGTTACGCGAAGGTGGTTCCAACAAGCAAGTTCAGCTCGGTCGCCGACACACACCGCACGCTAGTGGACAAAAAGAGGTAATTGCTCCAGCAAATAACTCTCTAGCAATTCATACGAAGCTCAGCATCAGAAAACCCACGTTTTCACCAGGTCACGTTTTCCTAACCGTTTCAAACACGTCTCCCTCGTTTCCGCAACCTGCGATACCTGGTAACCTGCATCTCGCAATATCGTTGCTTACGACGGAGCTGAATACCAACATCCTCTCGATTGTGACTGCAAACGAGGAACAGGCTGAGAAAAGTAACACAAACCACCGCCTCCTTGTCTTTTTATCCCCCATTGCCGTACACTATCCACACCACTTGTACACCAAAACCCACCAGAGCGAGCGAGAACAAGCGACGATCAGCCAGAGAGCGAAAAAAGCGGTCGACGAAAAGTCTTTTTTCTAACTCCAGAGCGCTCGAGTGCGCGCGCGGGGAGATCGCTAGCTCGTCTTGTACGGCGTTTCCAAGGACGCCCGCGGCACACACGTCAAGCCGAGACGCCGCTGCATCTTGTCCATCCCGTGTGTCGTTCTCGTTCGCACTGCAGCTGCCCCTGTCTCTTTAATTTCGTCGTGTCGTCGTTTTGTCTCTCGTCCATTTTTCAAACCTCGATTGCAGTTGCGTGAAGTAACCCTTATGTTGCGCGCCAAACACATGGGGTTCAAGAGCGTACGACGCGTCGAAGTCAAGGCCGAGACCACGACGCCGGGCGACGTCCGGCCCTCGATGGACGCCACTGGCGCCCGCGGGAGCGCTCCCCGAGGCCGCCGCACGCTGCCCAAGCTCGAGTTCATCGTGGACGAAGAAGGCGCGGTGCTCCACGGGCCGCAGCAGCGCGGGTCGTACCCGTTTCTGGCTCCGTCCAGCGCTTCGCTGACGACTGCCGTGAACCTCGAGACGCTGGACGCGGCGCTCGAGCGCGACTTGGCAGCGAGTTTCCAAGCGTTACATATGCGCGACTTCATGTCGCTCGCTCGTCGACAAGATGATATGGACCAATCACAGCGCGTGTATCAGCAGCCGCATTTCGACCAACCACAGAGCTCGGATCCGACGGATATTGAGAATAAGGATCAGGACAATCATAATGATTACGGGGAAGAGGGACCGCAGGGAAATAGAGGGGACGCGAGAGGAGGAGCGAGTGCTGCTGTGGCTGCTGCTGCTGCTGCTCCTCCTGTTCGTGCACCTATGAAAGAGTGCGTGTTGAACGATACGCGCGCCACGACGTTGGCGCTCAAGTATGACAATGCACTGGGCAAGTTTGTCTGTGGCTCCTCGATCGAGCGCTTCTCAGGTCACACGGGAGTGTGTCGCGTGCTGGGGAGTAAAAAGTATCCGGTGATTCCGCACAGTTTACGACTGGGCGATCTGCTTCGGATTGGGTCCGTGGGTCTTGTTGTGTGTGAGTTGAACCGCACAACGAGAGATGAGACGGAAGAGGCGCTGACTACTGAGCAGTATGAGTTTTTGAAGGCGAATTTCTTGAGTTTGCCACTGCAGCAGACGTTTCACCCGACGGAGCCATCGCCGACGATGGAAGACAGTGGAGAACGTGATGATGATGAGAAAGATCAGGACGACACGGTGCGTGTGGGAGGAGATACTTCAGATGAAGGTGAATCGGAAGAAGATAAAGATAGGAAGGCACAGCGACGTCCGAGCACCGATGGGGAAGATGGTGGAAGTATGCGACACAGCAATGTGCCTCTTGGTGTGGCTGGAATATCAGGCAAACGGTTTTGCTACATTTGCTACGATGGGGAGGATGACGTTGAAAATAATCCGCTGGTGGCTCCATGTCACTGTAAGGGTGACACAAAATATGTACACTTGGACTGCTTGCAGCGCTGGAACAATAACTTGGATGCGGATGGAACGAATCCGAACCAGAAGGTGTGCGCTGTTACCAACACTGATGGTCTGGACGTCTGCAGTATTTGCAAAGCTACGTACTTGACGAGCGTACGCCTCGACGACGGACGGGTGGTGTCACTTCTCGTGAAGAAGTTGCCCCCACCGTACGTGACGTTTGCAGTTGTGACACAGCATGAGACGCGAAATCGTTCAACCGCACTTACCAACACGCGTTTCCAGCTCAGCTTTGCAAAGTACGTTACGATGCGGGTAAGATGGTTGTTTGTTGCAATAGTGGGTAACGTTTTGTTGATGTATGTTGTAGCATGCCACGGAACCAGCAATACTTGACAATTGGTCGCTCGACTACTAACAACATGACTCTTCGGTACCGCACAGTGTCTCAGCTGCACGCCAAGATGAAATTCCAGGATGTACGTAGCAGTCTTCATACATGTCGAGGTCCTGATCGACGGGTAGTCTGATACCTGTATTGTGATGTATGTAATCAGAACGATTTCTTTCTATTTGACGCTTCAAGCTCGAATGGCACGATGCTGTTTCTGAGCAAGCCGCTGGAATTGGACTGGAACAAGGTGATGCACGTAAAGATTGGACGCACGATTCTTACACTCAAGGCCAAGAAAAGGTGGAAATGGGCAGGAACCGGGCCGGGAGAAGATGAAGAAGACGACGAAAGTGGACGTGTCTCTTCACCGTGTACGAGTGCGGTGAATGGAACGACGCGAGGACTTGAGAGACGTCGTTTAAGCTCGGGCATGGCAGCCAGAAGTGTTGGTTTTGACATGAGTGGTAGCAGCATGATTCATGACCCGAGCACGGACATAGTGACCGCACCGTATTCAAGTCACTTACCGCGAACATACACGGCGCCGAACGTGCTGATTTCGCGTTTGAATCGTAGCACACAGTCCAGCGCGTTCAATTCGCGGCCATCACGGCAGCGGTCGTTTTCGAGCATCGCCCCAATGATACGCAGGAACAGTGCGTTTGATGTGTTCCACGCCGACGAGCTGGGACTTGATGAGCCTGGCGCTTTTGTCACACAGGCCGCTCGAGAATCGGTGGTACTTCCCGTAACATCGGCGAGTTCGCGTGATTTTGCTTCTGCGAATGTGTCGCTGTCATCGACAATGCAGATCGCAGGCGAAGGTATAGTTGGTGCCAATGCTGACCTGCCGAGTCGCGTGGGTCAGGGGATACCTGCTCCGCAGCGCATTATGTACGACATGGTAGACTCTTTGGCCGAGCGTGGTGCGAGTCTCGTGGTAGCGACAATGAGTCCTACGACGGGTTTGATGGATCAAGAATAGTAGTTGGGTTGGTGCTTTTGCCGTTCCTGTTCCCTTTGCAACGCTGTGGCTGGCGCTGTGTTGCGCTACTGGACGCCGGCGCGGCGACATGTGCTTTCTACTCGTATATTTAACCCCAGATGATCGACAAAAGCTCCGCATGAAACTTGAACGAATGCATACATTCGTTTTGCTTAGGATGGTTTGTTCCGTGCGAGTTCCCGCTGTTCTAGTCACTTTGGCAATTCTTGGTAGCATTCTGTGGTATGACTTTATGCAACAACCGCGGACGGAAGCATATCCTTGACCTGGACGCGTCATGTTATCCATTTTGACCCAGAAACAGGTTTTGACCGGATCGACGATTCCTTTGGTCGATGGTATCATTCGGACGGCTTTCATACCTTACTATGGCCAATATACTCACTCGCTGATCTCGTGGAAGGGCTCTGAAGCTATTGTTTCTAGCCTACACTAATGCTCGTGATGAAATAAATACCAACTTCGGGGAATCGGCGACTGTCAACCCGCAACCTGCGTCCAAGCGTACGCTTTTCAACGAAATGCTCTGAGTATCGTTGCACATCTCAGTCATTGTCACGTTAACGGCAGATCTGGACGCAACTGCCAAAATTGTCCACATCCGTCGACTGAGCAGATGTCATGCGTATCTCACACATCATGCTACCACCCACCGCGCGTAAACTTTACCACGCTCTACGATAGCAACTGAGGTCATGCATTGTTTCTGTGCTACGTCCCTGGTACAATCTGGTCGCACTACCTGCTTAGATCTGATCGGATCTTGTGCACTCGAGTCAGCAGAAGGAGTCGCGTTGATTAGCACCACCTCTTGAGACTCAGACCGCATTGTTCGCTTCGAAAGTCATGACATGAGTTGCTCGCATAGGAGGCATATTCGTGCCTTACACACGGAACAAATACGAGGTACGGTAGAACGAGTATCCGAATGAATGGACCACTGGGGCGCTGCTTGCTACTGACTATTTGACTGACTGGCAAGCCTTTCGCAAAGTGCTTATGTCATCGACTACGGTAATGAAGAGAATGCGTGGCACGCAAGCTATAGTCACTGAGTCGTTACCAAAGAGTAGAAGAAGCTTCTTTACACTAAACTACCTTGAGGAGAAGCGTCGTATACCAGAACTATTGAGGCGACCAGAACCATTTCTTGATCGCTCATCATCCGTACTATGCACCTCGTCAAAGTTCTTGTACTCTGATGTTGATGCACACGCCTCTCTGATACATGTTTATCAGAACCTTCACAAAATCGAAACGTAATGTACTGTTGGCGGCAAGCAGGTAACTCTTCCACGCACGTGATTATGCGGCGGCGCTTTAGACGCCGTCACTTTTCACGAGCAAAAAGTTACTTGGATCTGCTCATGCATACGAGCTTTGAACCTGTAGATAACAATGAATTAGAGACCCCAATCTATCAGTCAAATATGCCAGAGTGTCGATCGTTGCAGTGCGGTGAATATTTGATGCACCAATTACTCATCGATGTTTGCCGTCACAAGGTCCGCCAACACCGACGTAATGTCGGGCCTCGCCTCGATACTAAAAGTACGTGCACCTTCCCGCTACCACCTTCATGGCATTATTCTCTTCCACGACAAGGTAGATTCCTCCAGCTTGATAGGGTGATACCCGTCAGCTTAAAATGCATGTATGATTGAGATCGTTGACGACATGATCAGGATTCGTATCTTCCTCAGTGACTTTACAGCAAGTACCAAGCCATATCGTACACTGAGCCTCCGGTTTTGCGGATGAATGCTTTACAGCCAAGAGCGCTTCGCTCCATTGCGTCGCAGAAATTATTCCTCAATACGTTTTACCAAGATCGATCGGCACCAATTCGTCGACCACATGATCAGCAACCATGACACGTCCGGTTACTTGCACCTGCCTCGTTTCAAAGTTTACCCAAGCCATGGTTGTTGGCGCTAACGAACAATTACCAGCTCGTCAGACCGGCGAGAGTGGCCACTTCAACACAAACACAAGTGGAAGCTGCTGCCTTGTCAAGTGTATCGTAATGGCGTTATATACCTACAGCTACCGATTAAGGTGCATCCTGACGATCAAGCTCATGAGGGCCACTCTACGTTCGCGGGTCTTCCGGGCGCTCCCTTACATACATTTTCCCATCGAATGGATCCATCCTGAAACCAACGTCCTCCTTTCAACCGGGACCGGGCGACCGCGCAAATCGAGCTTCATAGCGCTGTCGGCATTGCCTTCGTTGGGTCAAATATGGTAGATGCGCGGTATGTGGCTGCTTAGTTGTGGAATACCAGCTTTTCATTGCCAAGTTGAACGGAGGAATGTGCATTTCGATGTTTCGACGTGCGGTCACATGCGACTGTTGCCCGAACTATACTGCAATGCCAAAACGCAAGGGAGAACGAAAGCACGAGAGGACGCAGGTTATTTCTCATTAAAGCATCAGGTCGGATTCACAAGATGCGGCGGTTAACGGCTCACATGGCGGAGCCTAGTAACAACTTTCTCACTCTGTTTTGCAAAACAGCGTCACGTGAATTGGTGTCGACAAGATCATCCTGCGACGCAGTTCAAACAACGGCATGATGGCTAATATGGTCACCACTTCCACATACGCCACATCTTCACGGTAGTAGCCCGTCTCTCTTCTTTCTGAATGAACTGATTTCATCTGAAAAAACGCACATGTCAGGCAGGTAGTTCCGGATGAACTTTACTGCTATACCTACAATGGAAGGTACGCTTGGCTGACCACAGCTTCATTGGGTTGAAAAAAAAGTCGAGATAGGTCATGACATAGCCGTAGTTAACGGGTCTACTGATGATGGTGCTCATTCACATTAGTCGTGATAGACTGTCGAATGGAGTGATGTGGTAGCCAGTTATCAGCACGTGATTTCGTCCTCGAGAACGCCATGAAGTTTTGTCGGCGACGATGCACCCACATCTCTCAGTAGCGCATCGATTCTCTGTACACGCGCTCATCATTATGACAGTTGCGTCTTACCACAGCAAGTTGGGCATATTGTGCTCAATGCAACAGCCGAGGACACAACTACTCGACGATCAAGACGATACAATTCTTGACGACATTCGTGTACGTGGAAGAGTCTGCCTTGATGGAAATTTGTCATGGAACGGTAGTGCTACCGAGATACAAGACCCATTCAGGTGAAAATAGTGGCTGCTGTCAAGCACCACAGTCCACAGCCACATCGTGACAAAGTGGAGCATGCACAGCACTGCGCAAAACGTAGCAACTGCAGCTGAGATACCGCTGGTAGACTCGGATACTTTGCCGGTAGCAGATAATAGTCAAAGACAAAAAATGCGTGGCAGCTCCATCACCAAGTGATTCGCTACCGGTTGAAGCGTTGCGTACGCGCTTTGTCCAGCTTCAATCCTGGAACTCGAGTTCACAAGTCAACGAAAAAGCAGAGCAAGATTTGAATGTATTGAGACTTACCGGCAAAAAAATGGTCTGAGAGTGCTAGGAACTTGCTGAAACTCACGTCGTGGCATTAGCAAGAACTTTTTACCGCATTGCTTCCGACTCTCGCTGAATAGCTTGCCGTTCACTCAAACGCCTTGAGGTCAGCATGACTCCACTCCTTGACCCCTCCCTCGCCGTTCTCGTAATCATGGATCATACCCTTTGCCGTTGCTCTGACCGAAATCTGATACGACTGCCATGGACAAAGTTGCAAGTCGCAAGTACAAAGTCGCAAGTCGCAAGTACAAAGTTAGGTCCTCCGTCTACATACTTCCTTCCCCCCTCGCATCTCAAGAAAAGAAGAAAAGAGACAACATACCCCCGGTATCATCCATCCAAACATCTTTTCCGTGCCTCGCAGCAAATCTCCCCGTTGCAACATGCCTGGCCGAAATATCGACGTGCGGTCGAACTGTAGCTGCTGCACCCGATCTTCGACTTCCCCCTTCGTTTGTGGATACAGGAACCAACTGTCTTTATTGGCGCCCTGGGACGTCAAGAGTCCAATGTACGGTACACCCGCTGCTTTGGCCAATTCAGCAACTTTCAGCACGTACTCGAGATCCACTGCAACAAGAGTACCAAAAAAGCTCAATCAACATGCACCCTTTTTCAATCCAACGCATGGACCCCTTATGGTTTATTTGGGCTGTAGAAGCTCCTTCCCACCTCTGCGAAATGCTTCAATAGAACCAGCATCTTTGCGGGTCGTGCCCAAGCATGAGAAAACAGCGTCCACTGTGTCAAGACCCGGGATATCCGACTCGGAAAGATGGTCGAAATCCACCTGCTGGACCTGGAGCTTCTTGCCTGCAGTCTCAAAGTCCATAGATGGGAACACTGAATTCCACATCGAATCGGGCACGTCTCGACGGGATAGTGCAATGACTTTGATACATCGACTGGAAGCCACGAGTTCTGCCACGAGGTCACGGCCGACTGCACCTGTAGAGCCACTAACAAGCGCCACGTAGGAAGACATTGGCAAAAGTGTTCTTTCAATTTCACTATGGATCGACGGATATCGAGGATGACGTGGGAGATTCGTGGTCGATATCGCTGTTTAGGCGGACACGGACTGGTTTCGGTTCACATTTGGCTCAGCTGTTTTGTTTTTTACTGCAATACCACGCGGTGTGTATGACAAGTTCGAGTGTTTGCTGATCAATGAAAGCCGCCTTTGGTCTTTCCGAATTTGCTACCGTTAAAATTCCCACTAGTGTGTGCTTTATCCTTGTTTGCACAGCGCTGGCATGGCAAAAGCTGCACTTGGTCTCACCAATCCAATCCTGTCCACCAGAAAACAACTTCGTGCAAGATGATCGAGTCGATACGCCCATAGCTGAACACCAAACTTGAGCTTGCTCCGTTCATTCTCCGACCCTGATTGACACTGTCCCCAGCAAATCGGTCTTTTTCCGTGTCGAAACACTTCCCAAGAGTGAGCGAAAGCAGCAGATACGCGTAGACTTCGTACCGTCAGTCTCCATTGAAAACGCTCGCGAAGCCAAAGACTGGAGCTCATTTGCTACTTCTGCCGCCAAATTGCGTCCGACATTTTCGCTACGTCCACCATCTCGGCACCGTCATGTACGCGCAGAATGTCCGCTCCTTGTTCGATAGCAGCGCAGCACGTCGCAGCGGTACCCCAAGCGCGGTCTTTCGGTTCTGGCCGCCCACATATCTTGCCGATGAACCCTTTACGAGATGAACCCACCTGCACGTATCAGCGCGTTCAACATGAACTGAGGAACTTTGGTTCGAGACAAGTCACGTCAAAAGCTACGTACCAGAAGTGGTAACCCGTGGCACATTTGTTTGAGGCTTGCGAGCTCCCGCAACAACTTCAGATTAAGAACTCGACCTTTGGCAAAGCCGATTCCTGGATCCAAGATGATGTTCCATCGAAAGATACCTGCAGCCTCTGCTGCCGCCACGCGTGCACGAAGGGCTCCAGCAACATCAGCAACCACGTCGTCATACTCCTGCATGCCAAACCAAGAATTCATCAGTCAGCTGTGTAGCAAAGACCCTTCAGAGCTATCAAGTGCGCCGTCCACGACCTACCTTGAGACGCGTCATCGTTTGCGGTGTGCCTCGCATGTGCATGAGCACAATCTGAAAGAAAGTCACGCGGACGACGACACTCAGATCTGTACTCACCACAGAGTTTGCAATTGTATCTCGAGTACAAAAGGACGTACTGGGACGCGAAGCTTTGCTACGACAGTGAGCATCATGTCGTCATTCAGACCTGCAGAAATGTCGTTGACCACGTTCGCGCCTTCATTCACCGCTTGACGCGCTACTTCCGCCTTGCTCGTGTCGATTGAAATCGCCACGTCGCTCTTTTCTCGAATGCCTCGAATCACTGGCAACACGCGCCTTAATTCTTCTTCTTCGGTCACATGTTCCGCTCCAGGGCGACTCGATTCACCACCAATGTCAATGATATTGACACCAGCACGTGCCAGTTCCAAGGCTTTTTGTACGGCAGCAGTGACAGTTTCCAATTCAGCGCCATCGCTAAAGCTGTCCGGTGTGACATTCACGATCCCCATCACGAACGTTTTGCTCCTCAATGACCAAGGTGCACTTTTGATAGCTGGCAGCATTGGGACTGGAGCCACATAACGTTGTTCACTTGCTCGTAACTTGTCATACAGCTCTTGCATTGACAGGTTGTGCACCGGATGAATCAACTCTGCATTGAAAACCACAATCAGTTCCGAAAAAACGCAAAAGTAAAGATAGAGAATCTGTAACGACGTACCCGGTGCCAAGTCACACATTGGAGCAAGCACAAAATCTCTCTCGGCAATGCGTTCGTGTGGGATAATAAGAGGCCCTTTACCCGTTTGCGTCTTCAGCTCCAGGTCATCATCGTACAATAAAATGTCGACATCCATAAGTCTTGGTCCCCATCTATTGAAAAACGTTTGTACTCAAACCGCTTTACACATCGCTGCCCTCCTCTTTTCTCAGTTAGAACAAAAGCAAATCTGCACCTGCGTGAAGGCGTGCGTCCACCTTCTCTCTCAATGCTCTTGAACGTCTGCAGCAAATGTTCAGGGCTCAAATCCGTCTGGACTCGAGCCACGAGGTTTAGAAAAACGGGTTGATTTTCCACGTATTGCGGCGCCGTGGTATAAAGACGCGACGTGGCTTCTAAACGTCCGACTTCTTGAGATATCATGGCCAACGCATGCTCTAGATTCAACACCTTGTCACCTGCATAAGAGATAGAGAGGGTTAGAGAACATGTTCTCGATTTTCACGACCAGGAACCGGTCGGTAGAAGAATTTCGTACCCAAGTTTGTGCCTAAAGCGGCGTATACCCGTGGCATGATTTGTCAACTGCGGCTGACCAGTTATTACGAGACGACGTAGCACGTGATCGGGTGGATCAGACCTGAACTGGAGTCAGCAGCGTCCATCGTGTCCATTCATTTACCGCAATTTAGTCAATTACTCATAAAGCTTGCAAGAGGGTCAAACCTTCCCACCTTTGGATCACGTCGACGCATTGATACCTCCGTCTGCAAGTCAAGTAGTTGTGTAACCAGCTGAAACTGGAACTGGTCTCGGGACACGCGCGCGCAGCACTTGCATTTCAATGAAACGGCTGTGGCTATAGCTCCGGTCGACCAATACAGGTTTATGAATCTGTTTGTTAACCGGAAGCGGGATGCCGTAGTATAGAATGGAGGACTGGGTTGATAGCGTCGACTAGTGTCATGTGAAGTGTTGATCGAAGAATGGCTGAACATGTGAGTCACAGTGCACGTTTGTGCGGTGTAATATGCTGACAACGCATGCACTCAGTCTCTGAAGTCGAGTATCTCTCCATGAGTCAAAGGCGGTAATGTACGACCGAGACCGACCACTAGCTCTAGACTAACAGACGTCAGTGTGCAAGCGAGCGCTACAGCCAACAGTCCTGACACAGCTCCTCTTCGATCTCAACCTTGCAACAAAGCACCACTTCAAGTAAAGAGAAGAAGACGCTCGTTGTAGCTCCCGACGCGGCGATCGAAGCGTTTGCAACTAATGTTTCGGAGCAATCCTAGGCCTTTGCATCAAGTTGTTGTGGTTTCCCCAATACTGCTTCACGAACCTGCGTATGCGCTTCCAGCCGACATCAAGGGTTGTAAAATACCTGAGATGAGATGCATCAAAGCATCCAGGTTTTACCCTAGCAAGCCAGCTGCAAGAGAGAGAAGCCTGTTCAGGATGAAGAGGAATCTTAGATGCATTCAGTATCAGCTTACTAAGAGGCGAAAAGTGCGAGGCAACCAGAAAGGCTCGGCGACTTTATATCGTACGATCATCCCGTCGATGTGGTACGTTCATCAGTGTGACTGCAGATCTCAAAGGTTGTTCGAATGGATGTTCAATCTCTCGGTCTTACGTGGCTGAAGGTGACATGGTCTTGTTGCATGCCAACAAAAGTACAATCTCTTTTGTTGGCATGCAACAAGACCACGTTACACATATATCGTCCACTTCATTGCAAACCTTCTCCTAAACAGTAGTATGCAGCTCTTGAACGTGTTGCAATCTGAAGCATGCAGCATCACGTGACCAAAGACAGTTAGCAACTATGCAGTGACACGCTACTGAGTTAGGTGACATTGCTCCACGTCGGATTTTCGATGTCAGCTTGATTGTTTTGTTCTCTCAATTTTAGATTGTTCAGATATTACGAAGGGGGGCGTCAGCTATTCTGGGAATTTATTCCAGTGCGATGCCGAAAGCATTAGGGCAACTTCTCTATCCACTTTTTAATAGAAAGCAGCCAGGATAAATTACGCTGCTCAACAAAGCGTCAATAACTGCTAATCTGCATTTTATAACTTTTATGGACAAAAGACAGCCAGAGAGCATGGCAAACGGTGCGTCTCCTCTGTCTTCGACGTGCTGTTTGACACCAAGCATGACTCCATCCTGCATGCCTGACACCCTCTTTCCTCCTTACACGAATCTCTTACATCCCCTCTTCTCAGAAACGCTGGATCCCGACACTTTTTACCTCCTTCGCGGCTCTCAGAACAGTACGCCTCTCTCTTTTTCCGTCACTTTGTTTATCTTGACATACTGTCAAAAAGTTAATCCGCCAATTACTGACAATTATTATTGCTACAATTCATTTTTGACATGTATTGCAATTTTATTCCTTTCCCTCTTTTTTTATTGTGTTTTGTACAGCCGAAACGGACGGAGTGGACTATTGCAATTTAATGAACCACTACAACCTCGAGCCGCACCTGGCCAAGATGACGGAGACGACGTTGCCCCGCACGTACCACCATTTACTGCGTGGCCTTGGCGAAGCTCGAGATTCCCTGACGCCCACTACCGAGACCACAGGAGATTTGATGGCTCTGCTGGAAGGCGTGCCGTTCGATCGTCCGATTGAGCCGCTGCCTGAGGCTGCAGTGAAGAGCGCCCTGCAGTTGCCTGCAGGAGGCAGCAAGAGCGGCCCCGTGCTGCATCCTTTGTATCGGGGCAAGACCCCGGGCTTGATCCACACGCCGCCTCCCACGGACACGGAACGAGCTGCTTGTGCTGAGCAACAAAAGGGCAAGTCCAAGGACGAGAAGGACCGTCGCGAGAAGAAGGAGAAGAAGAAGCGCAAGCGAGAGCGCGAAGACGCTGCGATGCTGCAAAAGCTGCTGGCACCGCTTGTGGCGGAGCTGCGAGCGCTCACGTGGGCTGGCTGGGTCGTGAGTGGCAAGGCGGGGAACCCATTTCTGCAGAAGTTCACGACCGACAATTGCAAGCGACTCGGTGTCCCCAACTACTTTGACTATGTCAAGACGCCCATGGACTTGACCCGGATGAAGGAGAAAGTCGAGCGGGCCGAGTACACGAAGATCGAGCAGTTCACGACGGACATTAAGCTCATGGCAGCCAACGCCAAGACGTTCAACCGCGTGGGCGAACCCGTGCACCAGATGGCAATTGAGATCGAACGCCTCTACGAGTCGAAGCTGTCGGCGTACAAGAAAATGTTCGACGAGCTGCATCAGGAGCGCAAAAAGCGCAAGAAAGACAAGAAGAAACGCAAAGACAAAAAGAAGGAAAAGTGAGCAGCACCAGCAGCAGCAGGACAATGGCCGAGCAGCTCGAACGCAGAGCTGCAAGCGTGGACACTGGTTCAGGCACAGTATGGATGGTGCGTTGCTGAGTCCCTTTTTGGCACAGTATGGATGGTGCGTTGCTGAGTCCCTTTTTGGCTATGCCGTAACAACAAGCTGCGTTAGTGTCCCGTGCTCGTCAGTCTCGTCCCGTTCTCGTCCCCCCATTGCCGCATCCAGCACGGGCTTCATCGGTATCCACCAGCTCCACATGTCGCGACCAAAGTACACGGTCACATTGTGCTGGAAGCTGCAGCCCGCCAGCTCGCCTGGCTTCCCACTGAGGAACTCCAGGGTCGTCTTGCCCTCGCGTAGCAGCCACAGATGAAAGACAAAGTATCCAGCAAGCAGCGAGCCGATCCCGAGGGTCAAGATCCAGCCACACTGGAGCAGCCACGTGACGACGATGCGAGCGGTTTCAGGAGCTTTTCGAGAACTCATGAGGTTGAACGTCCAGCAGCTCAGAGACGTGTACAGGAGGAAGAGCAGGAAGCACTTTTTAGTGGTCCACGCCACACAGTTGCCAGTCCAGGGGCAGTGGTGGTCCATCCGGTACACGCACCGATTGCAGACGGAGCAATGATGGACGTTGGCGCCTTTATCAGCGTCACAGCGCTCGCAGTAGCGAGTGGGTGGCTTGGATGGGTCCATTGTATGACTATGTAGAGGTCTCTCGTGAATCGGACGATCGTGCATCGCCTGTGCGTAGCTCCAGAACATGAACGCAGTGGTCGCACAGTAGAGGCTGTTGAGGAAGATGCTCGAGTGGGGGCGTAGGACGACTAGCCACGTGAACGCCTTGAGCAGCATGAGTCCAAGAGCGACAGCGACGAATCCTTTGCTCATGATGAATGATGGAATTCGTGCACAAGTATGCGCAACAATTATTGTAGGTTACTCGAATGTACGTGGGTGTTTTGACGTCTGTTTGGTAGTAGCGTTTATACCGGTTTGAATCGAGACTGATGAAACGATGGGTTCCTCGAATAGAAACGTTTCGTTCATTAAGCGCTTTTAGAAAGACAGACGTCGAGGAGAACTGTTGGTGAAACACAGGTGTGTTCTCATGTTTAAACTCGTTTCGTCTCACCGTTTTTTCATAAAAGCGGCAAAAAGTCGGCCATCGGACTCATCGCCGCCAGCAACGCAAGCTTCTGACAATGTTTAAATGAGACAAATGCCGAGACTTTTCCAAACCACTCAGGTTTTGTCAAACAGACGACACGCTAGACCCAAGCACACTGCAACATGCACCTGTAACACCTGGTCTCGTTCAGACTACAGTGGCAATGTTGAAATACCCTCCGACGCAGTCAATGACCAGCAAACACCGAGACAAAAAGAACGCGGCACCGTGTTGACTAGACATACCAAAACTGACCGGCCATGACAGCACTGATCACTTACGACCAACAGAGCTGCGAGCGCTCCAGCATTCGTGTACCACGCGGTTGTGCCGGGGTGACACTTCACCTCATGGACCTCACAACTCGCCAAGTGTCCGTTGCAGAGCTCAGATGCTGGAACTCATCGCCCAGACGACACTCGCGTTCGCGCATACGTCATTCTCATGCGTGTGGGGCAATCAAGGAGCCCGTGTGCTGCTCCTGAGGCGAGCCGTTCTGCTTTCGCAAACCACGGAAAACACGGGGGCGTCCGTCTTCTTTCGATGTGCTGCGTTTGCCTCCTTGGGCAACACCAGTCTCGTCGTTCGTACGCGGTCCACGAGAACGACGTGGCTTGCTTCCGTTCGTGGGCGACCCATTGCCCGACTTGGTGCCACCTCGATTGCTATTACTATCCTTCTCTTTCCAGCGTTCCTGACCGCGACGACGAGGGGGGTTCTTGCCTTGCAAACTGGTCGTTCCAGGTACGACCTCCTTCTTGTCGTTGTCGGATGAGCCGGCTGAAGCAGCTGGAGACGGTACACGCGTATCGGACACTCCAGCAGCAGTGGCAACTGCTACAAACGAGAAAGGCGGAACAGGAATCGGCTCGGGGAATGATGCAGTCTGCGCTGCAACGTTGGTTCGCACTCCATGTTGATCACAAACTTCCGCACCGCGTTCGTACTCCAGCTCAGCAGCCACGACTCCCGCAGTCTCTGCCTGCACTGCAGCCACTGCAGTTGCTGCATCAGCTTCGTTCGCAAGCTCCAATTCGAGCTGCGACTCGGTGAAGAAACTAATCTGCGGCATCGTGTTAATCTCAGCAGGCACAACAGGAACGTCCGTGGTCTCGTCAACTACAGCAGCAAAGTCCTCGCCTTCAACCACCGGCTCAGCCACTCCTTTCCCACTCGATGCTTGGGACGAACTAGTCACCAACTGGTCCACAAACGCGCGTAGATCACGATACGTCGTCTCACAGGCAAACACCTTGTCGCTCTCCATCAAGTACTTCTTGGCTTCCTCCAGTGACTCGAGCAAATTCTCCTCATACGACAACTCAGCAGGAGGACGCGTGTTCCCCAGCACCACCTTGGAAAAAAAGTCCAGCACCATGGGTACATCTTTACCAATGGCTTGATGGAGATTCACTACATGCAGCGTCTTAAGCAGCTCGTACACATGGCCAAAGTCATCCCGATCCACAGTGTCCTGGTCCACCGCCACCACTACCGGTGCAACTGTCTCAGTGTCCACCACGTCTTGGACGACTGGAACCTCTTGCGTTTCCAGATCTTCCCGTCCGTCCGTTGACTCCTTAACCTCATGACACTCTTGTGTGGCATCCACCTGTTCAACTGCCTCCGTAGTCAGTATCATAGGCAGAGTCCCCGCCTCCTTCTGTTGCTCCAATTGCTGCGTCTCTTGCTTGAACACCGCGACAAACTGCTCCCGCAGCATCTCGAGCTCCGCCACGAGCTTCGTCAACGTCCCCTTGTTGCTCATGAGCGCCACTTGCTGCGCGTTCAGGACCTTGCCTTCGCTCTCGCGAGCGTGTTCCAAAGCCCTGATCTTCTCGAGCTTCTTGCGGTGCGACCGCATGCGCTTGTACAGCACGCTTAAGTACGGATGGTCGCTGCTAAAGGTGCTCATGTCGTCCTCGTCCGCTTGAGTTGCAGCAACACTAGCAGCAGCGCCGCCTTTCACCTTCTTGTTCTTCACTTGCGACACTGTAGACGACTTGGCCACTGGTGGACCAATGGGAGCAGACGAGGGGTCGGTGGTGGCGGCGCTCATGGTCTCACTGGACATGATGATGATGCTGCTGCGAAGTTTTAGTCCCTTGGATAGGTCGTCTGTCGGTATCTGTCCGTGTTGCGGGTGGGACGCGGATTGAGAAATGAGGCAGCGGGACAAAATGGGCGCTGGGTTTAGTGTGGTACACAGATTACGCAACCTTACGAACCCGCAAATGAATTGTGCAGCACACGCCTGTTGCAAAAACACTCTCAAACAGACTCGGTGATTTCGTCGACGATGACCCTTTCGACCTTGATCCCGAACGTCCCGTCACCAATCCCGACAATCCCGTCGAGCGTCGATGAAATGGATGGAAAAGGAGCACCAGCAGTCGATACTGGAGCAATAGCGGCCTCGGACTTGCTTTCATCCTTGGAATCACGCGAATCCGCAGGTTGGTTGTCCATCGGTTCAGCAGCTTCAACATCGTCACTTCCAGAGACCTCCTCATGAGTCCTGCCGTCTTGAGCTTCGGCATCAGTAGCTTCAGTCTTGAGCCCTGCAGTAGAAACATCCTCAGTCTTGAGCCCATTGTCGTTCTCGGTAGTCGGCACCAAAGCATCTCGACCATCTGCACTATCAAGAGCTTTATCTGCCACAACGTCAACAACGGAGCGCTCACCTTCTTGCTCACTGTCGTCGGTGGGGGTTGCAGCAGTGCCATCAGTACTGCTTGCATCAGGACTCAGACCCAGCTGCTCTTTCAGATGCGGACACACGGCGTCGATGACAGCGCATGTTTCGTCAAACAGCGTCTCAGTACTGTCCTCGGTGCTAGCGCGCTCGAGAATATCTTCGGCCTTCAACACGAGCAGCAGGTTGTACAACGACTGTAAGGTCGTCTCAAACACAACACTTGACTGCTGCGATCGCGTCGAAGATGAGCTCGATGCAACAAGTTTGTTTGCAAGACGACGCAGGACTTTCAGCCACAAGTCCGGGAAGGTTGGTAACTCCATCAAGACGTTCAAGTTGTGGAGGAACGTCTTGGACAACAGTGTGATACTGTACAGAGGAGCATCACGTGCCATCCTCACAGTGACGTCGTTGACTTGATCGTCAAACGCAAAGATGATGTCGTCAAAGCATTGGTGCCACGTATCCTTGGCGATCGGCACTCCCGGGACAAGGAGCGAGTTGCGCAAGCAATCCCAAGCAGTCCTTGCTACTGGAAGTCGATCATCATTCAGATACTCGAGCATCACTCGCATCACTTGCAACCACGAGCTGCCACTCATTTTGTATGTGCTGTCACTGTTGGCTAGTCCTTGGAGAAGCTTCAATGCCTCAACAGCATACGATGTCCGGTGACGAACGAATCCGCAGCAAAGAGACATCCAAAACGGGAAGTTGTCATCATGTAAGCGCTTTCCTTCTGCGAGCACTACCACACTTTCCCAACAAGCTGAGCGACTGTTGATGTATTCGACCACGTTGTTCAAGATGCCCAAGAGCACCTCCCAGTCGTGGAAGTTATGCATGTATACAAGGTTCGCCTTGAGCAACATTGTGATACCAGACGATAGCCGGTCACTCAGCGCCTTATACATATCCCGGTTCAGTGTCAAAAGCAGCTCGAGCGTCGCCATCAGTTTGGGACGCACCTGCTCATCGTGAAAGAGTCGGATACTGACTCGCAAAATGTGCACAACGACACGTTCAACGAGTCCCTGCATGCGCAGCTCGCTCAATGGTGTCGACAGAATGCGTTTGGCATACAGATGGAATGAGTCCCACAAGTTGAGCTGCAAAATACGGTGCGAGTTGACCAAGATAATGTCCACGCTCAGCTCTAACACAAGAATCGCATTTTCCTGCATCATGGCATCGACACCGGAATCAGACGGCTGCACAATGCACTTGAATGGATCACGACACGAGATCAACGTCTCCAGCAGGCTCGACAATGCCTCCTCCTGCAATTTGCGGGTCAAACGCAGCCAATTCTCTTTTTCAAGGATGCCGCCACCGAGCATCGCCACCTCTTCACGCAGCATCTCGTTAGCCAACGAGAAGCTCTCGTCGACTTTTTCCTCTTCAGCCCAGAGGTAGTACGACAACGAGCCCCAGATGGATCCACTGTTGACATTCTGCCCGTGGCTTCCATACGAAGTGCCCTGACTAGCCTGTGTCATGCGTTTCATACGACTCCGAATAGCGGCTTGGCGCTCGGCTTGACGTCGAGAACGTTCACGGGTCTTCCCTGAAAGTCCTGTTCCACTCTGTCTGCGATTGGATGGAACATTGGAAGGAGAGGAAGCATGGGTCGACGTCCCGCCCTGCATCGGAGGCAACGGCACACCACGCGAATCCACGAAATCATCGATCTCCACCAACGATGTAGGAATCACATCTAGCTCGTTAAACATGAGCATGCACTCGATCACATTCGCCCAACCCTTGCGAAAGAAGGTGCTCTTATTTTGTACAAACTGGAATAGCATCTTCAGCGATAGCAGTGCACGACGAGTCTTTGCCCCCTGCGTCAAATCTTCGTTTACTGAGCTGCCAACCTGCTGCTGAGCTACCAAAACCTCGACCCCGGTACCGTCATCCTGGCAGCGAACGATCTGCTCTCTGGTAGTCTCTGCATGTTGATCCTCCGAAGCAGACGGAAGTGGAGAAGATGCCGGGTGTTTTAGCATCGTCGGTGGCACGTACACTTTTTCACCACTCATGATGCCATGAGCAAACGTGAGGAAGTACGATGACAGCGCTCCCATAATTTTGTTGAACTCGTCAACCATGTTGTAGTACAGCATGATTTTGGCACAGTTGCTTAGCCCGTCCGCAGCACGCTCCATATTGGTCGCGTCGCATGTCTTTTCGAACGCCAACAATATGCTCTTGATAGTGCTTTCGGAGATCAAGTTGAACATGTCCTTTTCGTAAAGTCCAGCGCGCACCTTTAGAATACTCGTATTCGAAGTGAAGCTAGCGCCAACCACATTCTCTGAGCGCTTCAACACACCATCCCACTGCAATGAGTACCTGTCAACCGTCGACGATGGAGACTCCATAAAGTCGGATACATCATGCTGCATTTGGATCTCCTTCTCTAGAATGTTGTAGTACAGATCCGTCAAGTACTCTACCGGCAGATCCTGGCCCGCGTTGATTCCACGGTTGTTGCGAACAAACTCTTCCACTGTCATTTTCTTTGCGATATGGTCTGAGTGCAAGTCTGTGTTCAGCATAATGATACTAAATGACAACACATAGGCTGCGTCAGCATCTGCTAGAGGTCCAGACGAACCAGCTTGCAAATACAATTGCTTCGAAAACGCTTCCATCATCCTATCAATTTTTTGTGCTTCACCCGGTAGACGAAACTTAGCCAAGAACATCCGCAGTGCCTCATCCAGTGACGAGGCTGATCGGAAATCAAACATTGCAACATACGCGTCTCGTACCGCAGCATTAAACGGGCACTTCTCAATGGGTCCATCGCCAATGAAGTCACCAATAAGCGTCTTGTTAAGACCTGGGGTGTGCAGCAAGAATGACGCTACAGATTCAGGCGTTAGCTCTTCAGGTAAAAGTCCAATTTGCTGTGAAAATGCGATCCAATTCTTCTGATCGTGATTAAACTTTTCTGCTGCCAGCGCACAACGCTTTTTGATACGCTTGCGTTGCTGCAAGACTTCGGCAGTGCGTTCGCGAGCCGTATGCAGCCACGCCAATTGGTCCACCAAATTATCTTGTTCACTCTGCTCCGAGTCCGAGTCGCTCTCGCTCCCTGACATCATAAGCTGCATGAGGTCTCGAACGGAAGACATTGGTGAAATGTCGTTCACCGAAAATTCACCAGATGAACCTTCAGTACCAGGCGAAGCCCCAGCCGTAAATCGAGCCAGATCAGACCCCTTCAGACTCAAGATACCTGCATTGCGTCCGAAAGCACCGGACCCTGAGGTTGTTGTAGGCGCATTTAAAGGACATCGTTGAGCGATCGACTCAATGACCGCTAACAAGCCCTCGAGACACAGCAACGTCAAAGCGTTCAGACTGCCGTCCGAGCCCGACATGGACTGGCAATTTTTCGCCAGTGACTTGCACAATACCTCGAACAAGTTCGTGCAGTGTACATCGCAGTCATAGTTGATGTATAAATCTAGCATGAGCGCCGGTTCGCGGCAGAACTCGAGCAAAGATTCGAGCGCCAGCTCCTTCTGCTCATTCGAGCACGACGGCGAGTCGATAATACGCATATGAACACTCGTAAAGAATACTTCCAGCTGAACCTTCAAGTGGTCCTTAATCGAGTTGAACAGGTTGAACACAACACGAAGCGTGAGCGACAGAATGCCCAGCTCCTCGGTCTCTGAGTTTTGCAGTAGAAACTTCGACAAATCTCCTTGCAGCACTGACACCAAGCACGGGTGATTGCCAAGTCCTGTACCAGCTGTCTCAAGCACTACATTCATAAGTTTCAGTCCCTGGACGCACGTCAGCTCTTCATTCTCCGTCGGCGATATCAGCCCTGATATAAAGTGCAAGATCCGTTCCAGCAACGGGATGCCATACGGCGTCTCCCCCGCGGCTTTTGCTGCAACGGACGTTGGCTCCACTGGCACAAAAGTCGGTGGTTGCGCAACATCGAGACTGTCATCGTACTCGGGAGTGACACTTGCCACTTTACTTTCGCCATCACCTGTTGCGATTTCATGCTCCTTTGAAGACGTTTGTGGCGCCATGCGCGCTATGGGTTGACTGTTTTTTCTCTGCGACCCCAACTCCTCGATCCTGTCGAACACTGTAAGCACCAAGTGGGACAACGTATTGTCGGCTGACCGGCACAAATGGACCGACGATCTCGACTGGCATCGGATGCTGTAGCACAGCTGCAGCATCTTGAATAGATTATCGCCCGCAATCAAATGGCCGGCATCACAGCGAACCGAGTACTCCACGAGTTCCAGCAGCTTCATCAGCACAGCTTCGTCATCGTCTCGATACGTCTCTTCGAATTTGCATCGGGAGACACACACCGCGATGCGGTTAATGGCTACATCCGCCCGCAGCGAGTCGCACGTAATGAGACCGTACAAGAGAAACTTATTCATCGCAGAGATGGCGGCCCCGGTTATGAACCCGCTCGTGCGGTCCGACTCGATGACCATGATAAAGGGCAACAGGTACGTGACTGTGTCCACGTCCGCCAAGTCGGCCACCGACTGGAGCTCGTAGTGCAGCTGCTTGAACGCGCGCATCATGGGCGACTGGGTCGCGGCTGGGATCTCTTGGGTGAAGCGGTCGGTACTGGCCCAGCGCGCGTTGATGCGCATCATGGAGAGCACATTGTGGATCTCGCCCTTGACGCAGTTCATGACACAAGAGAGGGAGAGCGAGAGAGCCCGTTTAATAGGGCGAGGAGAGGAGTCTAGGGAGAGAGAGAGAGGGTGGATACTTTTGTACGTGGAGGGGATGGCGACTGGGGTGTGGGAATGCTGTTGGATGGGATTCTGGTCTTGAGGTGAATACGACCGGGTTGATGGTGCGACTTCCGACGCTTTTTTGGAGGGTTTTATTGTCGACATCGTCATCTTTCGGAGGAGGAGAAGAGGGCGATTGTGAGTGGGATTTGCAACGTTGTGACATGTGGTCGACTTGTTGTGGTGGGACCTTTGAACGCCCAGTTTGTATCGAAACGCTATTGCGGAACTGAAGGTGACATTGCACGGCACGCGTCACGGAGGGAATAATTGAGTGTAATATCAGGCTGAGTAAGCAATTTGTGAGTCTGTGTGGCCTGGAGATGATCTGAAACATTGCTGTGAAGTGCTGCCGAGAACCATGGAGACAGACGCACACACTATTGGGTGCGAAATGGAACTCCAAAGGCCAGAGAGCTTTGATACTGTCGACGCAGGAGACTTTTACTCCACGTCGTAATGAACGTGATACTGGAAGCAGAAACTAACGAGTCGGGCTGCATCAAGTCTGAGCCAACTGCTGGTCACGCTTCATCAGGTCTGGATGGGTCAATTGGCGATCAAAGTGGCGGACATTGCACGAGGCAGCAGCAAGACTATCTATCATCGTCAAGTCTCGATAATGCCTCGAAATGGCGCTTTTCATTCATCACGGCAAGCAAACTGTTGGCGTGCAATGTACATGCTCACGTGCCCGCAGTAGTGCTGCAAAGACCGAATATTCCGACACAGTGCAAGCAACTAGGTCTCCTCATCTTCTCACCGCCGCATGGAGAGGACACAGCAACCCTTGGCCAGTTCGTGAACAATTCGGTCGCTGCGGACCAATGCCGAAATATGATGACGATGGCGCGTCTTCGTCATCGACTAATGTTACAAACATGAGTGCGAGGCTCAGCTTCAAACTTCGGTCCCGACCAGGAGTTTCTTCTGACAACGCAGCATCATACGTCAGGAATCCGTACCAGACAGACGTGGAGCATGCAGACTCGTTGCGCGTGCTCAGCTGACTGCCTGCGTGTTTGTCCGCTGGTGCTTCGCATACTGTTTGTGCAGCTTGGACAGAACAGTATTTGTCACTTTGAGACGCAGTGCGCGCTCCATCAGTGGCGCTTCTGCAAGTATCTCCGGTGCCTTATCTGCAAACATGTTGAAAAACTGCATAATCGCGTCAATCGGTTTTTCCATCACGAACTCGTCCGAGAGCTCTAACAATGCCAGCGCTACTCGTAACATAATCTTCCAGTTCTTCTCAAAGAGGAAGATGTCCCAAATCCGATCCAAGGACTCTCCAGGGAGCACATTGAAGTAAAGATACAGCGTCTGGAACCAGCCGACAATGAACATCTCAATGGGCACCTTCTCTTTTGCAAAGTGTGCAGCAACAGCGGGATGAGACAACTCCAGCAATCTCTGCGTTTGGAAACAGTGCACGTGCAACGTGTGCAGTCCCGGAGAAAACATGTCATGCAGACCGTACTGCTCAAACAGGATCACGAGCAACCAAAAGGTACTCTCTGCTTCGCCTTTCGTGTCATGGACACAACCACTTCTCTTCACTTGGTCGAAGACGTGTGCGGCTATATAATCCATGCCTTGACAATACCCGACGACAGGAAATCGACCTGCCACCGCGTGCAAAATCTCGCTCAACTGAGTAGTCAACTCTTCTTCGAGAGCTTCATCTTTGTGGTCTGCCACTTGCTTGTGAGGCATCACACGACCGTACGTCCGACGAACGTCCGTCATGATCGACTCTGTCGCGTCACCCTTCGACAGACCCATATGCAAGTACGTATCGTAATCCAGCTCAGCACAATCTCGCGTCTTCTGGACGTTGGACGTCTTCGCCCAGTACGCAAAGCGAAGATTCGACGGAAGATGTCCGTACCGAACACAATACTTTTCCAAGTGTCGTTCCGAAGCAATAAAGTCCCGGCAGCTTTTGTTTACACACGACACTCGCGCCAACACTGGCAAGTCTCCACAGAAAAGCAGAATAATGCCAAGCACGTACGGTGTAGAAAAACACTGGTCTCCTGGACTAGTGGTAGTCGTTCCCTGGTCATTTTCTCCGGATTGGGCACTGGAAGCGCTGATCGCTCGTGCTACAACCGACACACAAATGTCAACAACAGCAGGCCAAACACTCCCCGCCATTGAGATGTCCACGTACTCAATTTCAATAAGCCTATCGACCGAGGCGGCGTTTCCACCGCCACGCCGCCATTCTTGTATTTGAGCAGAAAAAGACAACTCGCACGCTTGGGATCTTCCACGTGCGCCACCATGTCCACTGTCGTATCTCCAAGGTACATGTCCGCCATGGCATTCAGCCCCATCGTATGAATCCTCTCCGCCGCTGGTCCTGCTGCCGCCAGCTTGGTTTTAAACAGACTCCAACCCTGAGTAGATCCTTCCTTGACTTTTCCTGCTGCAGTCGTCAAACCTACACATAGCGTCATGTTATTACTAGGTTACACAAGTCCAAAGTACCACAACTCAGTCAAGTACCTGCTGCAGCTGACGTCTTGGCTTTCACAATTGACGGCTGGTACCTCCCCAACCTACACCATCACATGAGACACAATCATCAGTGACCATCATCTAGTCCCTCCTTCTCCCCAAAACACAAGAGACACAAACAAACAAACAAAACAAACAGAAGAAGCCGCAACATGCTCCTCACTGTTTGCTTGTCTTGTCCTTCATCAGCAGCAACTGCGGTCCGAGCGTCTTACTGGCTGCTGAAGCTGCTCGATCTTTCATGATGCCAAAAGCACTGACGAGTCCAGTGGGTCCAGTAGTACCAGGAGCTGCTTCTGGACCGTCAACTGTCTCGCTCTGACTGGCACAATCCACCGGGTCATGCTCTGAAGTAACAGGAACCAGCAGCTCCGTCCTTGACTTGGCTTCTTCCTCGCCAAAACTCGAAGCTGATGAAGACGCTGGCGATGAAGTAACTGGAGCCGCAACGGACCTCTCGACTCGAGTGGCGGGCCCTGAAGTAGCAATTACAGTCGTTGACGTGTCCATGACGTGGAATTAACTGAAATGGGACGAAAGGCAGCGAAACCAACGGCGAGCAGAAGAGCCGTCGAGCTCTGACGCCGTCTGGAACGTCGTGATTTGCAGGATCAACTGGAAAAAAAGCGGCTGGCAACCGAGTCAAATGCGAAACGTTCTATTTCGAAGCGGGTGCCAAATAGAGGACTTTAACGATTGGTTTAGGGGCGTGAAAGACGACTTGGTAGGAAAAACACTTTTTCTTTCCTCTTCGTGGTTGATCATTTAGTCTCTTTCGTAGGCCACGCTGCCGTCGTGATATAGTGATCCCTTTTTTTTAACGGCGGTTATTTGTGAGCACATCAGGCTCAAAATAGTTGGCGGGTTGGACTCTCTGAGCACATCATTTGATCGAGTAGCAAGTGGAACTTTCCAGCCACTTTTTGATATACTATCGTGCGTGTCCTCTTCTTTTGAGCTCCAATCGCTCTGTCCTCCGTGATGCTTTTTCTGCGGGCACGAACGAAGACGCGACATGCCGACGGCAATTCGTAGGCATGGAGAACGAGAGAGATACGTCGTCAAGTCGTGTCTTCCGACAAGAAAACAAAGCCACAGCTGTTTTCCAACAGCGAGATGCTGTATGTGCTTTCCAGGAGCACAATTACATCGGTGTCTTGTAAAAGGGGTAATTGACTCGACTGGGTTTCGATCGAATTGGTAGTGACCGTTATAACTTGTACGTCAGCGAGTGACATTGCAATTCAGTCAGCTAGCGACAGCAGCACAGTCAACTTCCTCATGTCGTTGTCGCTCCGACCCTATTCGTTAAATGCGTATTCAGTCAATTCCCCTCTCGTGTTCATCCCTGTCTTTACCCACAAGAAGCAGCTATCGTAGAATTAGTCCACTCTGCGGCACCACTCCGCCCTTTCATATTGCATAACAGTTACTGCAAGACCCAGAGAAGAATAGATCCAGCAATCCCACTCAATACCTACTTTACGTCCTCCCCCCATGAAAATATAGCTCTCCCCTCATTATAATGACGTTTCCCATCAGCCTAACCCCACCGTCTGCGAATCAAAAGCCACACCATGCAATCCCAATATTCACAATAAGCCGATTCGCAACATTCCTGTCAAACTCGTCATCCTCAAAGTCGCAGGAACATCCTCAACACACGTGCGTCCACGAGCTGTGTCCTCCTCCTCCTCCTCCAGTCCACGACGAAAGCAGCAAAACCAGTGCAACCCACAGCATGTTGCGGCTCCAAGTTTCGTCTCGAGGCCTGCAAAGCAATAGCGACGTCCCGACTGAATTGGCAGAAGCACAAGCTGTGGACTACACCGCCTCCCAGGATCTGCCATCGATCCGGTCTCATCGATCAGGGACTCGCAGACGACGCAAAATCGGCAAAGGCATTCAGTTAATTTTACTCCGCAGTTACGTGCAATGCGCCAAACAATTGAACCGGGTGCCGGACCGGTTAACGACCGAACAGCTGCTGGAACAAGGTTACGACGAGTTTTACTACCAGGGAGGCAATTTAAACGAACCCCGTCTTAATTATGCAGCGTTTCTAAAACTCGTTCGAAATCGAAGAAGCGAAGTCATGAGACAGACTCGAGGAGGTCGTTCTATCATTAGTCAAAGGTGAGCCAAAAAAGTATCTGACAAGGTGATTGGCAATGGAGCGATATTGATTTCGAGTTTAAAGTAACATTAATTACATTGAGCGGATGATGGTTTTTTCAATAGGGGCTCGGCGAGACACGGTCAGAAGGAGCAACTGGAAATCCAAGCGCTAATCAACGAGCTGGAGCAGGTGCGACATGGCCGACGACCATGTGGAGCAGTGGAGTGCGACACGTTGAGTGTTCGTTCGGATAGTCAAGAGTCCCGTGCTCTGATAACGGACACATCCATGCCGATTCTCTCGGACTCGTCGTCGATCATGGGAGATACGGGAACGGACGGAGGAGTGTCAGCAGGGGACTTATCGACAGCCGAGACGTACTCGTCCGTCTTGTCAGGGACGGACGGCAGTAATGACGACGTTGTCATCTCGCGATCCAAATTGAATGTGATGCTGCAAGTGGCGCAGGAAACGCTTGTTGCGCAGAGGAGGATTTTGGATGAGGTACGAGCGATGGAACAGCGTTGCAGGCATTCACTAGCTTGGAAGCAATGAAGCGTTTGGTGAAACGAAAGTGCTTGGGTGCACTCGTGGTAACGTATTCCGTTGGATTGCTGTTTCTGGAGCGTGATTACCCGAAGTTGTGTGGGAGCATGACAGACGTGTACGTGTTTGTGTTTTCCATGTCTACTAGAACGGCTTGTTCTTGTCCATTCAGGTTGCATTTCGTCACCAACGAGTGCTCACAGACGAGATCGCCCTTCGGTTTGCACAGTGCATGGATTCTACTGTCAGGGCAGTGGGTCAACTGATTTTGCGTTCCGAGTGCTAGCAAAAAGCTCGGCTAATTTTGTGACGATGGCACCAACACTGAACATTGTCCAGCACAATGAGGTGGGCTTTCTTTTGAAGCCGCTTCTTCAGAGGAGGTTGCAGAACTGTTGCTGATGTAAAGCAAATCGCACCGATCGGCGAAATTAAGGTGAAACGGTATCTACGAAGCGTCCAGTGGCGTACATGAGCAAAGTATTGTTGGACACTGGTGTTGAAGCGCGTTCTGACCAAGGCACTGGCGATAACCGCGGCAAGCAACACTTCACAGTTTGAGGCAAGTAAAGTGATTATGACTTATCCAACCTCTGCTGTCGGCTTTCCTGGCACTGATCAGACGTTGTTGCTATCAAGTCCCGTCACTCACCTAGATAGTGAGAGAGTTTTGCGCCATCTTGACGTACGAGTCCGATTGTCACTGGGCCTCTGGTCAACTGCGAGGAGTCATCGGGTCTCATTCTAGCAATCTCGCGAACGAGTGTCATCGCTTTCGATCTCGTGGATGCGGTCACCATTGCTCTTACTCTGGCAGATGTGGTCATCTTCGCTATCAATCTAGCAGATACGGGGACCATTGCCTCTCAATGCGTTGTCAAGACCAGTGGGGTAAGTCAGACCCGGACATATATCGACATTGTTGTTGAACACTCGATCCAGCTTGGACCGTTGATAGCAGGGCTGCCATTCCCAGCTTGTCAACACTTGTCTGCCACGACCGACTAGAGTCTGCCGTCTTGACCTCGTCATTTCAGAACTTGCGCCGTTGAGCTCCGAATCATGCAAGCTTTACTTGCACTGTTCGTGACGATAGACTTGTTCCTCTCAACAGTCGTGGTCAAGGCTGAACCATACACAGCTTCGGAAATAAGCAGCATCGTCAAACCTATCGCATCAAACCCGGACTACGCGTCGTGCCGATCCGAGAGCAACTACACGCTCTCGGCTTTCCCAAGTCCCTCTGCTGCCCAGCTGCGTGACTTCTGCTCAAGCTCCGCTTGTCAAGGCGTACTGAGCGCCACGTTGAAGTCGAATCATCTGCCAGACTGTGAAGTGCTTGTCGGCTCTCAAGCTTTCAATCTCATTGAAGTTGCAGCTGTTCTGGCCGCCACGTGTGGACCTGCTGTCCATGAACTGGATTCCCCCACGGAAGGACTTGTGGCCAAACCCGATGATGACAATCCAGTCCAACGCGCTTCCGATCGCGTTGCAAGTCTGCTAGGACACTCCGCTCCGATCGAAAAGATCGGCATCGTAGCGGCGCTGCTCTCGCTCGTTCGCGAATAGAAAGATGGCTTTCCATCCATCACGCGTGGCCATCCATGCATTCCATCCAAGCATGTTGACGTTGTCTTGTAATAGCGTAATCAATTATCTTGTCACCACATGCTTTCTCAGATTGCGGAACAAAGAATCCACACGATGTCTGTGCGCTGATACGTTGCAAAGAACATACGGTTCTCGCCTGGTAATAAAATGAATGGACGAGAAGCTCCGAGAAAAAGACCTCAGCGACGCTTGACTTCGCAGCATTCGCCCAATGGCTCCTCACGAGATCGACGCTGTAGAGATGGGGACAGCATCAACCACTCCCTCCATCCAGAGCGTGGATCTGGTCATCTTTGCTGCGTACATAATTCCAGTCATCCCTCGTGACGTGATCCTGTCGGACCATGCCATTGTGATCGACAAGTCACGCATTATCGCGCTGCTCCCACGGGAAGAAGCCGTCACTCGCTTCGTTGGCTTGCAAGAGCGCCACTTATCGGCCCACATCGTCACACCGGGGCTTGTGAACCTGCACACGCACGCCGCGATGACCCTTTTGCGTGGTCTGTCGGACGATAAACCACTGTGTGACTGGTTGGTGCAGGACATTTGGCCCACAGAAGCTGTGTTCGTGTGTCCCGAGTTCATCAAAGCTGGGATGACGCATGCAGTGGCAGAGATGCTGCGCTGTGGCACCACTTGCTGCAACGACATGTACTTCTTCCCGGATGTCGTGTGCAGTGTGCTGGAAGAGACCGGATTTCGCGGGGCCGTGGGGCAGATCGTCATGGAATTCCCAGGTCCGTACGGCTCCGGGTCTGATGACTACCTTGAAAAAGCAGAGCCGAACCTGGAGAAGTACGCGCCCGGCTGCCACGACCTCATCACCGTGACTATGGCACCTCATGCGCCGTATACGGTCTCGGACACCAGCGTACAACGCGCAGACGCGCTGGCTAAGCAGTACAAGGCGCGAATGCACATGCATTTGCACGAGACAGCGAGCGAGTGCAACGACAGTGAGAGCTTGAACCGGGAGTCAATGAGCTGCCACCAGAGCGACCAGAAGATGCGTCCGCTGGCGAATTTGAAGCGCATGGGGTTGCTGTCGGAGCGTCTCATTTGTACGCACATGACGCAGCTCACAGAGACGGAGATCGACGCAGTTGCAGCAGCTGGAGCGCACGTGGTGCACTGCCCGTCGTCCAACCTCAAATTGGCGTCGGGTATTGCTCCTGTCACGGACATGATTGAGCGTGGCGTGAACGTCGGTATTGGCACCGATGGTGCAGCCAGCAATAACTCGCTCGACATGTTGAGCGAGATGAAGCTGACTGCGATTCTGGCCAAGGCGCAGACGCTTCAGAGCTCGAGTGTTCCTGCTGTCGAGGTGCTGCAGATGGCTACGCTGAATGGTGCTCGTGCACTTGGTCTTGAAAAAGACATTGGCTCGATTGAAGTGGGCAAGCGCGCGGACGTGATTGCTGTCGAGTGCGATAGTATCGAGATGATCCCAATGTACAATGCCATTAGCCACATTGTGTATGTGGCTGGTCGGGAACATGTCTCGGACGTCTGGATCAATGGCAAACACCTGCTCGATAACCACAAGCTCACGACGATTGATGAAGCACAAGTGAAGAAGAGCGTCCTCGAGTGGGCTGCTAAAATCCGCAAACATTGTGTGGATGATGATGGGCCGGCTAAGTCTGCGGATCGCAATCACGAGCAAGTCTCGGATGTCTCGGTGACTGGCAAACACTTGCTCGAAGACCGCGACCTCACAACAGTCGATGAGGCTCACGCGGAAACGAGTGTCAGTGAGGGAGCTGCTCGAAAATGCAAGCAGCAAAAGCTGTCGCAGTAGATGATCGACTTGGACTGTAACTTCTATAACATGTACATAACGATAGATGTTTTTGAGTTGTGAGAGTGCACCTGCTTCTTGGTCTTGTGAGTGCTGTTTGCAGAGATTTTGATTCCGATGTAAAGCAAGCGGAAGCGCAGCGTACCAACAAGGCCAATCATGAGAAAACAGAAGCAAAAGACATGACCATCTCGATGTTAATGTGATCCGTTGCTCGCCTAGGCACAAAACTGTTGACCGTTTAACATGAACATTCTGCAGCACAAAACAGTCAGTTCACTCTCTCACTTCAACCACTCAGCTCTCGATCACAGCACGTTCGTTCTACTACTTGTTTTTCATCATGAAGTTTGGATCCCGTCGGTACTTGGCTTCGAATCGCTCCATCCACTTGTCCAGCAAATTCGTCGGAACTGTCATACAACTTTGATCCGTACTCGTCGAGAACGAGCTGAGGTACATAAACAGATCTTGAGCGATCTTGAGTGCGAACGCCTTGCGCTCTTCCAAGCCACTGGCTTCGATGCCCAAATTCTTGACACTCTCCAGACTTTCAATAGACACGCCAAGTTGCAGCACGGGCTGTCCCATAACATCCGGATGCGTCGGCCACGACGTCCGGAAAATCGCACTTGGCTTTTCTGCAAACACTGTCCCTAGTAACTGCCAATTTTGCAGCGCGGGGACTGCAAAATACAGTACCGCTGGAATCGGGCGGTCGAAAAAAGCACAAGTTGTGACTCGCGCGTATCAGTGCATCGTTTTTCTCATTGCGGCAGTATATAAAAAGCACGTTTTACAAAAACGCACCGCCAAAGCCCGGCGGTACGGGCGAGCCTGGCAACAGGAAAAACGTGAGATCCGTGACTTCGGTTGGCTCCACGATGTCGATGACGTAGTGTGCGGGACCGATTTCCCTGTCAAAAGGAATACATCAGCACAACTCAGAAAAGCTCCTGAAGGTAGTATGACTAATGGGAGAGAGCAGCGAGAGCAAAAATGTACCGAAAGTCAGTGATAACGGGACGTCCTGCGACGACGAGGCCGAACTGAGCGATGCCGGCCATTGCTACGGTGGGGTATAGTGACGTAGAATGTCTTGACGATAGTTCTGGAGCCGGTGACACCGAGAAAAGACAAAACGACTGGTACTTGTTTTAGAAAGTTGTGGGTAAAGTGCAAAGCGCGATTAGTGTTTGTTTAGAAAGTGGTCTAGAATCGAAAAAAAAGAGAGAGATGATTGACGCTTCCAAATGTCTCTCTTTTTTTTTCGATCCTTACCACTTTTTAAACAAACTAGAAAAGCAGCGCTCGCCGGTTTTATCCGGCAGCGATTGTTTCTCAGAAAGGCAAGTCGTTCAAACGCCACAGTCATTGAAAAATCGCGATATTGTATGCTGCTTGCGGGGATGTACCCATTTTCCGGAAGGTCGAGAAGGTCGCTTTCAGAATCAGTCGACCAATCTTCTGTCCCATTTTGACCATTTCTTGTTGTTGCGAGGGACGTAAATGTGCTGTTGACCCTTTACCAGTATCTTGATCCCAGCGCCTACAGCTCGGCTCAATTCAAGATGAAGCCTACAAATGCAGTACAGATCCAGAGTCTAGCATTCTGAACTACCCCTTCATCAAAAGGCACTGCCCTTGTTGTTGGTGAACTACAAGCTATAGCTTGCTAGTTAGGTACATCACCGGCGAACAGGACGTCCACAAAGGAGGATGGATGTGATTGTATTTGCATAGGATGATTGCAATGTACTCGATTAGTTGCAGCCGTTCAATGTGTCTGGAAATGATGCCTGTACAATGTTCAGAAACGTAATTCCTATATGCAGCTGAGTAATGCATGTTGCAATTCGGGCTCTTGTCACCATTTTTACCGACGATAGTCTGACAATGTCTGACAATTGTCCAGAGATGCTTCAGCTCACTTAGGTCACCCGATGCGTTTTTCTCCAAATCGTGTTGCTTGTGTTGAGCCAAACGACGTCACGATATCATGAGAATCCTGAGGGCAATATTCCATGCACGCACGCACAAACAGTGCCAGTCGTGAAATAGTTTGACCAACATCCACCGTTGTAAAAGTCAATCTGTTGAAGTACGGTGCACATCACGTGGTTTCCTGATTCTGCACTCAAAATTCTCGTATTGTCTTATAGCTTTTAGGAGGCAACACTGGGACTGTATCGACCTCTTGCCGGCGATGAAAGACGTGCAGGGGAACTCATCGTACCCCCAAGAACTCCCTTGCGGAGCTCGAAAATGGGTCCTGCATGCGTCTACGAATTGTACAATGGCGGATTGTACTAGCAAGATGTATGCCAAAAGTGTTGTCGAGAATCCTCAATGAAGAAGTCATCGGTTGATCCAGCTTCGTGGTCGAGCTGGATACCGGCATCCATGATATAGTCACCAGCAGAGCTGTGTGACTCTTGGCAGATGTGAAACTTGCAACAGCTCCAAGACATGTGTCAAGAAACAATGGCGTTTGCCAGGGCAATCGGCTACACGTGAAAAATGGCGCAGTCTTCGTTCAACAATAAACGCAGTATCATCATTAGTGATCCTTGCTGTCTGGAGAGGTAGACGTTCTATAAACTCTGATGTTGTCGCGAACTATACAAAGCCGAGAGCAGCTCTTGTCCGCAAATGTAGTGAGGATGATGGGCAACGGATACAGGAAACACAGCAATTGTTTGTGGATCGCCGAGCTATAGGCAATTTGCGCACCCTTCAATATCATCCCCAACCTGAATTGACCCACGCACCTGATTGTTGAGGAATAGCAGATAACATTGTCACGATCTAGAAATGGACGTCATGGTGCAGTTTGTATTTGGGCTGTTCAACTTGCGCTCGAGTAGTCATGTCCCAGCATCGTGTTGTACAAATGCTGAGACGAATTGCTCGTTCCGTTGAAGGCAGGGTCTCGGTTTATGAACGTGTCCTCCGTTGCTTCCAGTGTCCGTGTTTTGTACTATTCGATTTTGAAGGTACATGTCCCTTACGAAAGTATCCACTCGACCCACACGGCTCCTGTCACGTTTGTAGAAAAAGACCAGAGAACAGCAAAAGAATCCTGTAAGTTTGAATGAGGAAGCTGCTGTACTCTCACGAAGTGCGACACGATGTTCAATTTGTAGTATGAACACATGGCTTGCGTACTTGGATTAGTATTGTGATTTCGATGAGTCACTCTGACAAGCAAAAGAACTGCAACATCTGTAACATCGTCCTTGATCCACTTGACCCTTTTGTTAGTTCGATCTCGGTAACCCCAAACTGTACTCGGCGCTCGATTGTGGTATCTTCGACGTACACTCGCGTCTTTGCTCACCCTGTTTGCATGGGCTTTGCTGGAGAAAGCCTCTTGGCAGATCCATCAGCCACCCTGTTAAATCACCGGCAATTGATGACAACGCATCTGTCTGACGGGATCACGTGGATTTGCGAGAGCTTGGGTACCGCAGAATTGTAACGGCCACCGCAACATCGTAAACGGGACGTACAAACGTCTACTCTGCCCTACCAGCCGGCATTACGCCGTGTGCGTCCTTTGTTTACAAGGCAGTGTGCCTTGTAAACTCTCTCTTTTATTTATTTCACGCACGATACCAATAGATTTTGATAGCCAGCCACCGAAAGCAGTAGTTCCCTGAATCTCTCCTTACAATTGACGACCAAACACCTGCACGCAGACTTTCTTCGCTGGCGCGTCGGCTATGGCTACGGCAGGGACATGACAGACAGTTTTTTCTCTCCACTTGTTGACGATTCACGTGTCATTCCTCAAAAATAAGCGCAGCGCGACAACGTCCATTTAGTTACCTACTACTGCTACTTCCCATATCTATCATTGATCACGTGGCACTTCCAGATGACACCTGTGTCGTTGCCGTCTCTGCGTTTTGAGCCCGTGGGAGCGCTGAACATGTGCGTGCCTCGTCTGCTTCCGTTCTCTTCGGAGAAAGCGCGTTCTGCAATTCCATTCGACCCTGCGCCCGTGTCAGACGTGATCCCGAAAGCTCGGGACAGGTCCTTGTCCCCACAGCAACCAGAGCTCGCGTGGCGCTCATCATTGACGGCCGACCAGATCGCAGCGATTGCCATTGCGCAGCAGGAAACTGAAAAGACTTTGCGTGGTCGAAGCAAGGTCAAGCCTTTGTGGCCACCCCCTCACTCTCTCATGTCCGATATGGCCTCAGAAGACTGGAAGAGAATGCGCAGGAAGGAGCAGTGTCGCATCAATCAGGCCAACTATAGGAAGCGCAAACGCTACTACGAAGAAGAAATTGAGTGCGAGATGAGGGCACTGGAACAGGAAATTGAACGGCTTCAGACTTGCCATGCTGCAAGTCTGTTGAATAGGCGACAGAACGCTGTGCAGACCATTGGCGACTTTTACTACGCTGTAAGTATCGAAGGCGGACAGCAGAGGCTTGACGGACGGGCTTTCTGGGTAAAAGACGGTCGCTCTCCAGCACTGTGCTGTCTATTGGAACTCCAGAGAGAAGAGTTTGACTCGGTCGACTCGTTCAAGTTACATTGGCTCTGCTACTGTAAGCAGTTTCGAGTGTTCCAGCTCTCCATCTCTTCATGTGAGCGCCTGGAAGCGGGCGAGCACGTGATTATTCAAGTCACTAGTCAGCTGCGAATGGACGTCGACTGCGGTGCGCAGCGGCACCGGAGTGGAAACAGTCCGCGCTACGGTTCGATCACGTATCCCGTCATGCAGCAGTTTGAGTTTCGAGAGGACGAGCAAGTCATCACTCGGATCACGTCTGAAGTGGATCTGGTAGGTGGCATTGCCGCCATTCAGAACCAGAGTGTTCCAGACTGTACACTCGACGTCCTGCGCTACCTCTCCGAGGGCTTTACCGCAGTTGAACCACTGCCGTAGCATTTGACTTCGCTAAAGGCGATGTGTAGTATTCAGGTCATTCTCCTACTGCCCGTGAATGTATCGTCTAATCCCATACAGCCTTATACGTAGCCAGCTAAGTAGTGCATGCCGCGCAACTCCACTACCTGATTTCTATCGGCGTTCAAGTTGGGAGAGCTCCCGTCAATCCGATGGTAAGCATGTCGTCGATCGTTGCCATGCCGAGCAAATCTCCCGAACCCGAAAAGAACTGGCTGTTTGTAAACGACCATTACGATCCCTGGAATCGTAATCTTACCGTCGGAAAGGCACAAGTACGCAACGCATGGCTCAGCGGCAGTGCCACGCCATATGAACCACTGATCACCACGTGTTATCAATTGAGAAGTGAGACACCGAAATGGCTTTTGCTGACAACCTGTCAACAGCCATGGTGTTTGTGACCCGACAACAAAGTCGTGGATGTAGTAAGGAGCACGGCGTCAAGTATCGCTGTGCTTGTAAAATCTGAAAGTACCGCAGTTCTACCCGTCTGAAGCGTGAGTTATTAACTGCATGTTTCGAGACAGATGGAAAGTTAACGTGTCCAATGTGACAGTTACTGCTACATGTCCACGCGTCGCATCGCACCACAATCGTAGAAATGTCGTGCTCTATAGTGTATGGGGACAGGGTCTGCTCATCAACAAGGTCACTGTCTCTTTGTACAGCAGATGTGTTTGATTGTATCATCTCGCGTAACCATGAGGTCGAGCATATCTTGTAGACAACCGGTGAGCAATGCAAGTAGATAGCTAAGACAAACACATAGCATGAGGGGAAGCAGGAACAATGTCGTAAGAGGCGAGAAGTGTGTGCGCTACTCATCTTGTCATATTGTGATCTTGATAACGCTTGAGTTAGCGTGCTGGACGAGAGAACTACGCAATGTGCTAGTGTATGCACGCATTTGCGTTCACAATTATGGCGGACGAACTCAAACGAGTCCTACACAATAACCGAAGAACTCGCACTGAAACGAGCTGTGGCCAGATGAAAAAAGACCTGTAATTGACCGTTTACACTCGACCGGTGGAGCAAATACCCGTGAACAAGCAAGCACTTTAGCGTTGCCGTCTTCCAAGTTCGCTATAAATTGCGGTACTTTAGTTGCCCTTTCGGAGGCATGTCGTCAAAGATGGTGGACTATCCATTCCATCAAAGTTAGTTCAAAGCACTTGCTACGACTCATTTAGCCCGCCTCCTTCACTCGCACTGACAGGCCGCACAGTGCTTCTCAGACACACCAAGTATACTTACGTAGTTGTTGTACGCCTCGTATGTAGCTACCCGCAAGGGAAGAGCATGTGATTGACTGGACTTAAGCAGGATCAAATGAATTGCGAACATCAAGTGCGAAACGAAATGGAACTTAGAAACAGTCGCTAATGATCAGTCAGAAAATTCGCCAGCAGTCTTGATTTAGCGGCAAAACCGAATGTATGCGAACTTATGCCAAAGTTGGTTTTGTGCGTGTTCAAAACCGACAAACAGTCATCCATTGATGTAAAAGACGTCTAGTCCAACAACCTGCTCAGGCCTGAAAGACATGGACGAGTCTAAGATAGAGCAGCAGACGTGAAAAGATTGGCATCTCGCCAGTATCACGCAGGAGTTCAAGTGTGTCATGCTCAGGATGCTGATCGTTGCTGTTTTTGTTGCAGGTAATCCGTCTCTTCTTTATCCGAGGTCTTCACTGTCCAGAAGCTTCCCGTGTGTCAGAGATATGGAACCCCGGTTCCGGTAGATGTACGATTGGCAAAGATACGTTCGTCTGTCTGATCGGAGGTGCAGACACGATGTGTGTTTCACTGGATTCGATAAACCGTCGGATTCGAATGTGAAGCGCCCGCAGTTGCGAGAGTGCGTTGACATCACGAGGTCTATACAACAAGCTAGACACAAAATACTCAACGTAAGAACGTAAACTTTGATGCAAACACCAAGAGTGTAGTTACTTTGATCGTCGTCTCCTGTCTAGCTCCGAGTTTGCGGGGTTGGATGTTTCACCGAGTGAATCCACTCAGATGTTCGGTAGAAATGCGATAATCCACTCCCGTGCAACACATACTGGTTCGTTCTCTGGAGGCTTGATAGATAACAGTTTCGATACGGCGTCGACGACTTTTGTGGAGTATTTCCTGTCCCTACTCTTGACATATACAGCTCAAGTTCACACCGCTCTTAGCACCAGGCAACGCTTCTTTGGTGAAAGGGGTCTCAGTTGACACTCAAACAGCTCGTGACCGTGTACGAACGTTGTGATGACCGCCGAGTATGCAACGTTTCGCACTTGCCGGCTGCATAAACAACAGTAGAGCCTTACCAAAAAGTTACCAGTGACGATCAGCTCTTCTTTTCATAGTCAAGAAACGATTAGTTTATAACACTTACCTGAGCGTAGAATGCATGCCGTATCCAAACAACTGTAGTATCTTCGGACAAAACCGTATCGTAAGCTCGATCGTGACCAATGCCCATCTGCCACCTTCCCCGAGAATTTGTCGACTGTCATCATGTAGCTGACTGGCGGCGCTCACAGCTTTTGGCTACACGTGGGGTCATTTTCCATGTCCCTGCGATATCGTGGAAGCTACGCAGCTCCATGTAATCAAAGATCGAAACTGGACAACGACGGGATCATACCAAGGATAATGAGTCATTCGACGCATCAGGATATCAGTAAACCACACCAAAGCCGCACTCTTGCCTATCTCCCTTATCAACTTTACACAACTTAGCACAAGCAGCAACAGTGGCCAAGGGAAGAAATGCCAACCATGTGCCACTCTGGAGGATCTTCGATCGCTGCCGGGTGACCTGGCGGATTCGAATGTGGAAAGAGCCGACCTTATGTCCGTATTCCACTGACTCGATCTTGGTGGTATGAGACGATGGATTGAAGTTCAGGGATGGGCCACCTCGTCCGCTCGTTCATCAGCACAGATCTTTGAGTTCACGCAGTACAAATGTGCTCACGACTTTTATCGCACGTTTCGGAAGTCCTCACGAAAACGAGCGAATCGTGACGTCTTCTCCACTGGCACTCTCTTGAATGTACTATGGGAGAGATCCACGGCGTGAGCTCAGGATCTAACTTGATTACGTGAGCTATCTAGTCGAACTACAGCACTCACCTGCCACTAGACGCTTTACCGAGATCATGACTGTGAACGGAAGATGCATGAGACAATCACTAACCGCAACAGATTGGTGCCACCACTTACATATTGTTCAATGATGGTGGCGGTAGGTCTTTTCTTGCTTACCCGAACACTTTGGCGAATCTCGTTAAGCGATTTGCTTTTCTTCCGTGTTTTGATCCATCGTGAACCAAGGCACCTTAAAATGACAACTCACATCTGTTTGACTTTATTTTGCATGATGTTGCACTGTTTTAAGATGCAACATCACGCAAAATAAAGTCACTCCATTTATTTGTACGACCACCCATCGCCTCTCTTGTACGACGACTCGCTGCGCTCGTCATCCCAGCGTCGATATGCACCGTCGTCTTCACGCTCCTCTACGTCACCAATCTCTTTCCCGGCCCTCCACACACTTCCTCTCTCCCTTCCTTTCCACATCCACCCGTTTTCCACGTCCCTCCCCGCCCACCTCCGAGCTCCAATATCATCCTCTCAGATCCATGTCAAGTTCCACCTCGTCGTCCAATAGCTACGAGTCGTTCGGGTCGTTCCACACGCCATCCACCGCGTCCTTATTCGCTCAAAAAGACCCTTTGGAAAAAAGATGTCCGACCAATTTGTCATCGGACATTTCGTTGCAGCTTGCGGACAATTCCGTTGCCAAGACAGCGAATCGCTCACTCTTTGCGCTGGACTTGAAGACGTGGACGTATCTCAATCACGGAGCGTTCGGAGCTCCTACTACAGTGGCCATTGAAGCTGCGACTTACTGGAGAGATCAAGCCGATGCACAGCCGTTGAATTTTCATGATCGGGAGCTCTTCCCATTGGTCGTACAAGTGATCAAGTCTCTCGCCAAGTTCATCGGCGTCGCCCAGCCGGAGGAGCTCGTGCTGCTACCCAATGCTACTGCCGGTCTCCACTCTGTGCTCGCATCCGTACTGAGACAAGATACGGATCAAGAGAAGAAGAAGGAGAAGGACTTGACAGTCGTGCTCTTTAGCACGAGATACGGCGCTGTACGGAAGATGTTGCAAGCTCTGGAAACCAGGATGAACGCAGTGCAGATCCGTGAGCAGGTGCTGTCTTTGGACGAGTCTCTGGATGATGAAAAGGTGCTGGAAGCTCTGGAAGAAGCGCTGAACACTGTGCAAGCTGCTGGACGCCGAGTGGCGCTGGTCGTGGTGGACCACGTCACGTCCAACACGGCGGTTGTCATGCCCGTGAAGTCGATTGTGCAGTTTTGTCATGCACGAGATGGCGGCATTCCAGTCTTGGTGGATGGAGCACATGGTCTGCTGAATTTGCCACTAAATCTTGACAAATTAGGGGCTGATTACTACGTTGGGAACTGCCACAAGTGGTTCTGCTCGGCACGAGGTGCTGCGTTCTTGCATGTTGCAACGACAAGAGGTGGACCGTTGATTGAGCCACGCGTGGTCTCGCACGGATTCTTTGACGGTATGCAGAGTGCTTTCATGTGGACGGGACTGCAAGACTACAGTGCGTGGCTTGCACTGTCTCAGTGTCTTGCGTTTTGGCAGCATCAAGGTGTTGATGAGACGCGTGAGTATATGCACACACTAGCGCAAGATGCTGCCGAGCTGTTGTATGCTCGATGGAAGATGCCAGACCACCTCGCCCGTGAACGTCGATTTCCTCAGCACAAACGACATGCAATGCGTCTCGTGCAGCTGCCGAGTTTGCGAAGACTTTGTGGTGGGGTCACGGTGTCTGCAGACAATCCAAATGCCACGTCGACGGATGCCAAGCGTGTTCAGGACAGTTTACACTACACTCATCGTATAGAAGTGCCTGTCAAATGTGTCGATGGTCGACTGTACGTTCGTCTGTCAGCTCACGTCTACAATTGTCTCGAGGACTATGAAAAACTAGCTGCAGCCGCAGTGGATACGGATTAGAAGTTTACGAGAACCAATTCGGGGTGCTGAATACCGCGGGTCAAAGTTCTGCGATTATCGCACTGGTATCGAGCAGACGAAGTTGCGATTGATGCGATGCCATAGGCTTTGTTTGGTTTCGGAGATTGCTACGCACGAGCTCAATTCGTGTGCGACCGCCGTAAGTTTCGATGCATCGCCCAGCATCAGCAGAACTCACTATGAGACCAGGCCGCGCGTTTGCCGCTTTGCTAATAAGCTGGTGGCGTTAGAGCGGATGCTACAAGTCACAGGTGGCAATGGAAGCGTCGTGTGCGCACGCACACACCCTCCAAGACTACAGCTCTAGCAATGTTTTGGTATCGCGTGGAGTATGGTCTGTATTCTTTGAGCCACTGAGCCGTTGGTGAAGTGGTCTACTCTGTACTGGAAGAGCTTTTCGCTTCATTGTCGTCTGTGTCTTCAACAGGCACATACTCCACAAAGTTTGGTGCTAGCTCCCCGTAGACGTTCTCAAGCATTCGAAGGACGCTTGTCAAGACAACATCTGCTTGATGCGGAGGCATGTACTTGTCGCCCGTGGACTTGGCGATTGTCACAATTGCTGGGGGATGGCTTCCATCCAGTGCATGCGCGCGAAGAAACTGTTCGAGCTTGCTGATCGAATGCTCGATCTCTTCTTGAGAGCTCTCGTGATGAGGAAGATCAAGAAAAGGTCCTGCTGCCCATAGTTCACATCGAATTGCCTCGTCGTCTCGGTATCTCTCCAGTACTTGGCAAAATTCGTCAACGACTTTCTCAGCGTTGACTTCATCTGCGTACGACGATACGAGATCACTTCGGACTTGTGCCCATATCGATCTACGAGTATCGGTGTCTGCCTTCGCATCAGCTGCTTCAAGACGTTTGACAAGCTCGCAGAACGTCGTCATCTCTGTGCTGCGCTGCTCAGCCGTCAGCTCATCGAGAGAGACTTGCTTGTACCGCACATCGCAAAAAAAGCTCGTCACAGTCTTCACAGCTACATCCCCAAGAAGTGCTTCCAAATCTGCTCACAGCCGATCAGTCAGCACAGCAGCCAACAACCAGCAAGAAGAACGAGCATCTGCAGCAATGATACCCCTGCGGAACGGGTTCCACGTCGAAAAGTAATCAAGATCAATATCGAGGATGTAGCTTTTCGAATGCTCGCGCGCGTTGTCCATTGCCTGCATCGCTACAATTGCTGCATCACCGGAAGTCGTCTCTGTTGCAAACAGATCCCAATACCTGCGATAACAAGTCACGACCCCGTCGCATCCATATCGACAGATCAAGTTTTTTTAATTCACTTACCGGAGAGACGACGTCTCCATGTCTTCTAGACGACAGAACAACTCGTCGGTCACGAAATGAGGCAACTCACTTGTCACTCCCATCGTTCCTACATCAAGAGCCAACACATAGCATCAATCCTCCACAAAACCTTCCGTCCTTGTCACGCTCGCAAGGGAAAAGCAAGAACCCCACTGTTTGCCAGGCGCTTTCCACTGGCAAGTCGCTGGAATGTTCCAGTCGGTATCTGCGTATCCATTCACATGACAGCATAAGATAGCACCCGTTGACGCTGTCCACCCATCTCCATGCATCCTCAGTCCCGGTCGCACCTGCGTCGCCCACGCCGGTTTCAACCACGTGATCTGGTTCACGTGACCTGCAAACACGAGCGGCAGCAGAAACTCGGCAATGCCAGCGACCGACTCGTCCAGTGCGTCGTACAGTCTCTCTGGATGAAAGATCACGTCCGTGTCGACTGCAGCACCGAAGGACAAGTCCGGGTGGGCGTCCACGTGCAGCACATGGATACGCGAGAAGGGCAGAAGACGCTGACGGATGGCCTGGATGACAGCACAAACAGAGCAGAACTCGAGTTCGAGCCACGTTTTCGACCGTGACGATCACATGTTTACGTACTGCGTGGACATCCGGTAGACAGTGGTGGTGGTCGTCAACGATGACGACGACCAGAGCCATATCTCTCTCTCTTTCTATTTTTGGCTTTGATTACGCATGTTTACCCTGCGCGTGCGTGTGTTCGAGAAAAAAAAAGAGCTCTTCGCTCATTGTGTGCACCACACGATCTCACCGTTTCATCGTAGGTCACATATTGTCAATTGGGTCCAGTCGCCAAGCACTAAAAAGAGCGAGACCAAACACCCCCCTGCGCACGCGCCCTCCACCATACAAACGCCAAGTCTCGACCAAAAGAGACCCATTTTTCACTCCACCGCCGACAGGATGCAAGACGAGCACCAGCAGCCACAAGAGCAGCAGCAGCCACAAGAGCAGCAGCAGCAGCAGCACGAGCACAAGCAGCAGCAGCACGAGCACAAGCTCGAGATCATGGCGGACCTGCGCCACGACGCCGAAGACGAGGACGAGGACGACGACGCGGGCGGCAAGCGGCGTCTCTTCCGCTTCAAGCCTGCGTTCGACGTCGTGCTCGCTCGCGAGGTCATTCGCTGCTTCCCGTGGGCAGCAGGATACGGGCGCACGCGCTCTGCGTGGATGAACGTGGCAGCGCGGGTGCAGTCGACGCTGGAGAGCCTCAAGGGCGTGGCATTCACGCGGGGGAGCTCTCTGGACCACGCGATCGTCAAGCGGCGCGTCGATATGTTGCTCGAAGCGTTTCGGAAGCACGAGATGTCGAGCTTGAGGGGGACGGGCACGCCCGAGGAGTTTGATATGCGCAATAAGCTGCTGGCGATCTTGACAAGAGTGGTAGGACGCGGCGCTTTGTATTTGGGTGCTTTTTTGGGTCCTTTTGTTGGAATGACAAAAGGTGTGTGTGTTGTGAAATTGACCATGGCTGGACTGGACTTTTGGTGCTTTTTTTTCAAGGTCGACGAGCAAACGCTGAACAAGGGAGCGATGCGGGAAAAGCGCGTGCAGGCGGCATTGCAAGTGGCTCAGCGCAGTCTCGAAGAGCTGGAAAGCTCGGTTGATTTGGTGGTGCCACCTTCGTCGATAGGACTCACGTCGTCTCCTTCGACGCCGCCGACGATGCCATTGATGCCGATTGCTCCAGCACCAGCGTCCGTTGCAGCAGGAGTTGACGCTCGAGGTGGTCTCAGTCCCGGCTCCGTACCGCAGACTGTCGCGGTGTCACACAACGAGCAGTCAAACGGCAGCAGCAAACGCTCTGTGCGAACGACAGGTGCATTTGCTCCTGCGTCGATGCACGAGGCGAAGAGACCTCGAGTCGAGAAAACTGCAGCGGCAATGGACGTGGCACTAAGTTTCGAGGAGCAAAAGTTGCGTCTTGAAGAGAGACGCGTGGATCTGGAAGAGGAACGACTACAGTGGGAGAAGCAAAAGGCTCAAGAGGACGGACACGAGCGCCAGGCTTTGCTGGATTTATTGCGGGCACAGGGCTCCCTCGTGGCAGAGTTGCTGGTGCACTTAAGGACCCCGAAAGTGGCTATGGATTCACACGATCTGTGACGTAGTTGGGCCGATGTCTATTGGCAAGACAGCAGCTATCGCTACGAGTGTGTTTAGTGTCCAAAGCCGATTGTCATTTGCAAGGAAAACGTATCCGTAAGCAACAATGGACCCATTTGTTCATTCCTGGAAAATGGATGGGTTTACAGTGGTCAAGTACAGAATTGCAAAACCGTGCGGTCGCGAACGCGCTGAAGTAGAGATAACAACAGTTGTCAGAAGATCCCGAACTACGAACACCACCTCGGCGTCGAAACGAAACGTCGGGATCTGTTCGTTTAGAAACGCGTTTCGCGCTCCATCGAAAAGGACTCATTTCTATTCCACGCACCCCCCCTCCGTGCATGCATGTATACCCCCCCCCACCACCTCTGTCTTTTTGTCTCCCACTCCCACCTCCAGTATACGTTTACCTAGACTAACGTTCCGTGCCACACCACTTTTCCACGCCATGCGCGCGCCAGTAGTTTTGTTTCCCTGACCGTCACTCTGCAATTCCGCACGCAGCCCTGATGGCGCCCAACGCCGCGGACGGCGTCCCAGCGCTTCCCCTGTCCGCCGCGTCCATGAAGGACCTCGAGAAACCCGTGGGCAGTGTCCAGGACAAGTGGAAGCTCCTGCCGTACTTCCTGCAGCTCCGCGGCCTCGTGAAGCAGCACATTGACTCGTTCAACTACTTCACGTCCGTGGATCTGCGCAACATCGTGCGCGCCCAAGCGAACAACGTCGTGCGGAGCGACGCCGACCCCAAGTTCTTCCTCCAGTACACAGACATCCAGCTCGGCGTCCCGTCGATCGACGAAGAAGCGTTCGTCAGCACGAACGTGACGCCGCATCAGTGCCGCTTACGTGACCGCACGTACGCCGCGCCTGTCTATGTGAGCGTCCGGTACCGCCGCGGGAACAAGATCGTGACCAATAACAAGGTGCTGATTGGCCGGATCCCCATCATGCTGCGCAGCGCGCGCTGCGTGTTGGCAGGCAAGAGCGAAGCGGCGCTGGCCAAGCTCAAGGAGTGTCCGTACGATCCGGGCGGGTACTTTATCGTGCGCGGCGTCGAGAAGGTCGTGCTGATCCACGAACAGCTGTCGAAGAACCGCGTGATCATTGAAGAAGACGCGAAGCGCAACGTGTGCGCGAGCATCACGAGCTCCACGCACGAGCGCAAGTCCCGGACCAACATCTTCCTGAACAAAGGCCGCGTCTACTTGAAGTCCAACTCGTTTGGCAGTGACATTCCCGTTGTCATCGTGCTCAAAGGCATGGGCGTCGAGAGCGACCAGGAGATCGTGAGTCTCGTGGGCAGTGAAGCCGACGTCTGTGACGCCCTGTCGGCCTCGTTCGAAGAAGCGTCCGACTTGAAGGTCTTTACGCAGCAACAGGCGCTCGAGTATATCGGAGCCAAGATGAACACGCAGACGACGATTGGCGTGACGGGCGGACGCCATCGTGGCGGCTTTGGACGGCCCATGCAGGACCGCAACTTGGTCGACGCCGCGCGCTCGGCGCTGGCGAATCTCGTGCTGAACCACGTGCCGTGCGTGAACTTTAACTTTCGGCTCAAGAGTATTTACGTGGCGCACATTGTGCGTCGCATTCTGTTTACGGACAAGGACCGCACTCGCTTGGACGATAAAGATTACTATGGGAATAAACGCCTGGAGCTGGCGGGTCAACTGCTGTCGCTGCTTTTCGAGGATCTGTTCAAGCGGTTTAACAGTGACTTGAAACGTCAGGCGGATATGGTGCTGAGCAAACCGAATCGCGCGTCAGTGTTTGACATTATCAAGTGTGTTCGCACGGACACAATCACACAGGGGTTCTTCCACGCACTGTCTACGGGGAACTGGACGCTGAAGCGATTTCGCATGGACCGTGCTGGTGTCACCCACGTGCTTTCGCGGCTTTCGTATATGTCTGCGCTGGGCATGATGACACGTATCTCGTCTCAGTTTGAGAAGACACGGAAGGTGTCGGGCCCTCGGTCTTTGCAACCATCTCAGTGGGGAATGCTGTGTCCGGCCGATACACCAGAAGGCGAAGCTTGTGGCCTTGTCAAGAACTTGGCGTTGCTATGTCATGTGACTTCGGATGAGGAACCCGCTCCGATCAAGCGGCTCTGTTTTGACTTGGGTGTGACGGATGTGTCGCTAAGTTCTGGTGAAGAGATCAATCATGCATCCAACTATCTTGTGATGCTAAATGGTGTGATCATTGGTACACACGTGGACCCGCGCACGTTCGTTACTCGTCTGCGTCGTATTCGACGTGCAGGTTTGATTGGCGAGTTCGTGTCTGTTATGATCCATGACGTACAACGAGTTGTGTATATTGCTTCCGACGGTGGGCGCGTATGCCGCCCACTGCTGCTAATTGATCCAGTGACGCATCGTACTCGGCTGACTCAGCGCCACCTTGATGAGCTGCGTGCGGGAGTGCGCAACCTCAGCAGTCTTATTGTAGAGGGCTGCGTTGAGTATGTGGATGTGAACGAGGAGAACAATTGTCTTGTAGCTCTTCACGAGAGTGAAATTGGCGACCGGACGACTCATTTGGAAATCGATCCAGTGACAATTCTCGGTGTTGTTTCGGGTCTGATTCCGTACCCTCACCACAACCAGTCTCCGCGGAACACTTACCAGTGTGCTATGGGAAAGCAGGCGATCGGCACAATTGCAATGAATCAGTTTGAACGTATTGACACGCTGTTGTACACGATGGTATACCCGCAGATGCCCATGGTGAAGACACGCGTATTAGATCTTGTGAACTTTGATCACGTGCCAGCAGGTCAGAACGCCATTGTGGCTGTGATGAGTTACTCTGGCTATGATATTGAAGATGCCATCGTGCTGAACAAAGCATCGCTAGACCGTGGTTTTGGACGCTGTATGGTGTTTAAGAAGTATCAGGCTATGATCAAGAAGTACGCGAATGGCTCGTATGACCGCATTGTGGGTCCGCCGGATTTCGACAGCTTGGCTGCCTCTGGTGCTGCTGGAATGGGCTTTCGAAGCGCCAAGTTCTCGTCGCTGGATGCGGACGGTATTAGCCGTGTTGGAGGTATTGTTCAGAACGGCGCGATCATGATAAACAAGGAGCAGCCCACCCAGTTCAACGACTCGATCGACGGACGCGATCCGCTTGACGTTACGTACTCGCCTTCGCCAACGACATACAAGGGTCCTATCCCTGCTTACGTTGATAAAGTCCTGCTGACATCGTCTGAAGCCAACCACTTTTTGGTGAAGGTGTTGATCCGCCAGACGCGTCGACCTGAAATTGGTGACAAGTTCAGTAGTCGTCATGGACAGAAAGGTGTGTGCGGTACGATCCGCAACCAAGAAGATATGCCGTTCAACGACCAGGGTATCTGCCCCGATCTGATTATGAATCCCCACGGTTTTCCGAGCCGAATGACGGTGGGTAAAATGATCGAGTTAATTGCAGGCAAGGCTGGTGTGCTCACAGGCCGTCGTGCTTACGGTACAGCGTTTGGCGAAAAGTACGGTTCAGCTGATCATGTGTTGGACTGTTCGCGTGAGTTGGTGAAGAACGGCTTCAATTATGCCGGCAAGGACTACCTGACATCGGGCATTACGGGCGAGCCAATCGAGTGCTATATCTTTATGGGACCGATCTATTACCAAAAGCTGAAGCATATGGTTATGGACAAGATGCATGCTCGAGCACGTGGTCCTCGCGCTGTTCTTACCCGTCAGCCGACCGAAGGTCGTTCACGCGACGGTGGCTTACGTCTTGGTGAAATGGAGCGTGATTGTCTTATCGGTTACGGCGCCAGTATGTTGCTCATGGAGCGCCTCATGTTGTCCAGTGATGCATTCAGTGCCGACGTTTGCCAGGGCTGCCGCATGTTGGGCTACGAAGGCTGGTGCCAGCACTGCAAGTCTGAAGAAAAGGTGGTAAGCATCCGTATTCCATATGCTTGCAAATTGCTATTCCAGGAGCTGCAGGCCATGAACATTGTCCCGAGGCTGACGTTGAAGGAGTACTGAGTCTTCGGAGGAAGCGGTGTGGTGCTTCGTTGTACAACTACAATTATGCTGTGTTGGCCTGGTTTGAGACGACAGGTTATGGTGAACAAATAGATCAATAGCATGCGGATCCTACAGCTTGTCCATGACCCCCTGACCAGACTTGCTTTCGACCAAATCTACTGGTGTCTGGTGGGCGCTCTTGGCTTTGCACATCTTGTTCTGCTTTACGAGTTCATTTGTCAGTCTCCTTGCTCGTCATGGGAGCTCGCGCGTTATCATCCGCGGTGAGGGCGGAGCTGTCACACAAGTCCAGCAGTTTTCCCCGGTGTCTATACCTCATTCTTGTATTTCTGACACTTGACAGGGTCGGCCTCTGCACGCCGTTTATGCACACCTATCAACTTCCAGAATGTCTCCTGGACTCGTGACCACAAATCGACAACTTGCTGTTGCGTTCCTGCTCGGTTAGTGTCCAATGCTGTAAACAGGCAAGATCCCTCTGCGTGGCGCTCATTCCACTCGACACACTGTTGCTGGATGCTGACGCCTTCACACTTTTTCGATATGCATGCCGGACTAAGATCGGCAATAAGGTCTTGAGATTATATCGAAACGCAAGCCATTGTGCACGGTGAAAGTAATGCTTCCAGCATACATTTCGACCAGGTCACTGTTGTGCTATGCTTCATCATGTCTGGACTTGTGCGTGGCTGTGAAAGTGCACGTCCAGCTCAGTAGTTTATTCCTGCTTGCATCATGTTCAAACAGCCAGCGGCTAGTATAGCGTAGCGCCGCAGTGCAAGTGGTCGATCGGTCAGCTATGTAGAGTTGGCATATCCAGGATAGGTCATTGTCGTACTAGGCAAGAAGCCAACTCTGTGCACAAGGACCAATGTTACATAATTCACGACGACACGACAAGCTCGCTTTGCGATCGACAGCTGCATGTCCAAGATGCAATAGTAGCCATCTTCTGTCGTCAAGTACGTAGCATTCAATGAGCCTCCTTTTCCTCGACAGCAGCATTTTTGGAACACTTGTCAAGCATACGACCGTTTTGATGTGTGTAAAGCTGATCGTCCGTCGGGTCTGTTGTATTCTCGACTTCTTCGCACACACATTGAATCACAAGAAAGAGCTCTGATACTGTGATGTATCTTCTAAGAATGGTTCCATTCTACTTATGCCAGACCTTGTGTGCTTCTGCTCTTTTTGGCATGTGCACGTAAGATCGAGACCTACCCGACCCCGCAAGCTTGCGAACGTAACGAACGAGACAAGATTCGAGTAACTTCCAAGTTGTATGAGTTCTTGTCATATGCGCGATACGAACTCGTTTGTATAATCACCCCAATGTTCGTCTTGGTGATGATCACTCGGAGCCTTGGATTGTTTTGGCAAATGCTGAACTGAGCGGATGCAACGTGAGCTATTCATGTTCCTCTTATTCTCCGTACCGATGTAATCCTCCGACCCTTTTCACCCCTGAGTTGGTGTAGTGAACTCGACACGTCCTGTTGTTGTTCTTGGAAACGAATCCGTTCGATACCATGTCGTGTGTCTTCCGCTCGACTTGCACCACTCGGAAAGTCTTCGTATCGAGATACTACTACCAAAGCATGCGTTCAATTATGTGGATGCCTTCTTCGATCAAGTGAAATGCGTATCAATAGTTACGCCGTACCTTGCATTGCTAGAGTGATCTTCTTGCTCTTTGCAATCTGCCATGCTGCAGCTTTGACAGCGGCGTTTGGTGTTGGTGTTTGCTGATGCTAATTTGAACGAACCACGGAATTTCCGAGGAGTTGTGAATACTGTTCACGATTGCGTGCGATTCATTTCGCCATTACGCTATGGTAGCTCTCCTTGGTTTCCAGTGTCCAATATAGTTAATTTCGCATGGCGGCGAGTATTTGATCATCTATGCGACGGACGTAAGTGCCGATTGCGTCGTCGTGATTACTCGTTCAGACACGCTGGGGCCATTTATCACCTCATCTGCTCAATGTCATGGCTTGGGGGCAATTTGATGCACATATGCAGCCAGGTCGCTATGGTTTATGGAGTCCAGACGTGTAGACACCGCGCGGGTTTCTTTCTAGCTTCAGCCTTGTATTTCAGACTGACCCCACCCGATCCGTATTGCGACGACTTTTGGGGATGCTAGCTTTCTTTTGATGTGATGCTTGCAAGCTGATGGCCAAGCTACGCTTCATTTGATCGGCGTCAGTGTTGAGATCCACGAACCGTTTACATACATTTCGTGCAAACTATAATTACCGCGATTTGGTGTTAACAGCCATTTGGGGTTGCACATCATCAGACAACTGGGGAGACAGCGTGACTCGTGGCTTGGACTCTAATGTTCAAGAGTCGAGCGCATCGGAACCCTTGCTTGGTCTCCATCCTTTTCAGTACAGGCGCTAATCGTCGAACAGGTGACTACGTGGTCCTTGGGTCTACAGGGACGCGAGCGAGTAGAGCAGATCGAATAAACAAGCTTTCAAACATCGAGTTCTGCGGGGCGCTCGAGCGTTCTCGAAGACCGACAAAAGGTGTGTGTTCTGATCGTACCATCCTGGCTTTTGGTGGCGGTCCTTTACAGCTAATGTCCTAAGTCTAATGGCAGTGTCGTACAACAACGTCGGTAAATCGATACTGGCTGTGCGGTACGTTTGACTTCGTGCTGTGTCGTTAGGTCTACATACAGTCGTAAGCTGCAACGTTTACATTCGAAGTGCCTTTGCTATATCGTGCGCAGTCTAGGCATGTCATAGTTCACGAAACCAGGTTCAAGGAGCTGACCGTTCGGCATTGTGCACATCGTTTGCATTATGAAGTATTTCTCGCCCAAGAAGTTGACTGGCAATAGAACCAATGAGATCCTCATCGTATGGTAACCCTCGCTTCTTCTCAATCAGTCACTCCAATTTATCACTACCAGCATAGGTACCTGCTTCTCCACGAAGACGCAGGTGATACATTCTCAGCTAGACCAGAGGCGTTCCCAACTCGTGCTGTTTCCAACGATGTCAGAAACTCAACTGAAAATAAACCAAAGCTCGATTATCTCCGCATAAGTCATACACAAATACACGCACTCATTAGCCACATCCGTACGGGATCTAGATCGACTGCTCAACACTCGAAAGCATGTCCGGAACAGACTGCTCCGCACTGCCTACGAAGACATCCGTCTCGTTGGTGGACTGCGTTACATTCGCAGGCTTAGGACAGCCGAAACGGGACTCCATGTCCTCGCGCCACTTTCCATATGCAATCGCCTGCTTCCCACTCTCAATCTCTTGAACGATGAGCAAACACCGCGGTGCCTTCACGCCCCACGTAGCTTTGAACTCGTCCGAGTAGTCCGGCGTGCCACCAAGACATTGGTTTTCAAACATGCAAACTTGTCGCTCGAGGTCCGCTGTGACCTCAGGACCATGTCCACCCATAGCCGCCGTCGTCTTTTCATACCAGGTTGAAACCTGCTTCTCTTCGACACGAATCTTGTCCACCAGCACCACATCCACCATGTCCCTTGGGCTGATTTCGTGTTGGCTGTCGGTTGCTGGAGATGCTTCCACAGCGACCACTGCCGGAGCATTGGTGCTTGACAAGACCTTTTTGACGTGAGCGTTCGCGCGACCACCGCACGCTCCATGAACCTTGACATTGTCAACTTTGCCCAACGAGCTGTCAACCTCATGCTCCACTTCGAGTCTGCGGTCACCGCGACGTCTGAAGTTCCGAAGCCAGTCCCACGGATCGCGTTGACGAGGTCGTTGAGGTGCGGCCGGCGGCGCAATGGGTGCGATCGGAGCTGGTACAGGGGCGGGAGGGGCATTGACGGGCACCCGGGCAGGAGGAGCGTTGACCGGTACAGAAGTAAGAGGAGCGATGACCGGTACAGGGGCTGGAGGAGCGACGACCGGTACTGGGGCTGGAGGAGCATTGACTGGTAAAGGAGCAGGAGGGGCATTGACAGGCACCGGAACTGAGGGTGGGGGAGGGGCAACAGGAGCAGGTGGCGTGGCGACAGGTTCCGAAGCTAGTGGCGGGGTGACTAGAGTTGCTGCTTGTGGTTCCGGACTCGGTGTGCCATCGCAGTTAGTGAACAGGTCAGCGAGCTGACCGCTGAGCTCGTACGAGTAGCTACTAGCGCCCAGGTCACGTCCATCCATGAGTCCAGCGTACTGATCAGGAACGCCGGCAAAGTATCGACCGATGACCGGGTCTCGGTTGCCTTGGATCGGGTTCACGCCATTGATACCCGTGCGCATGACGATTAGTTCGGACGGGTTAAAGTTGCCGCCACCCCGCTTCGAGCACGAAGTCCAGGCAACAGGATGGGTGGATTTCTGAGCAAATGTCATGCGCTGGTTTCCGACACGACACTTGTGGAAGATGGTGTGAAGGGCATCGACCATTGAGTGGTGCGACCAGAAGATCGGGTCTGCTGGAGAAGCAAGCGTCTGAACAGCGCCGGACAAACTTGAGTGGATTTGGTTGTGACAGCCCTGCTCGATCAGGGGCGACATCTGCCCGATGTTTCGGCCGTTGAACAACTGCTGGCGGATGGATGCATAGCTCGTGCTTGCAGGAACCGGGGCCGCTCCCCAATCGCCCCGAGGAACACAACCGACGCATTCCGAGCCCGAGACAGCTCCAGATTGGCAAAAGTGATCCAAAGGTGCCTCACTGACACAGCTCCCTGAGGTAGCGACCCCATTGATGCTGACTCGTTGCCGTCGTCCGACTGAACCTCCAAGATCACTCATGATGTTCGAACAGTCTCCCAATGAACTGCACGTTCCAGCAAGCACGCGGTTGTTGGCTGCCATCCAGTTGTAGTACGGCACCGTGACGCAAGCGAACTGCGGACCTTGTCCACGAAGCATGTTCTCAAAGACAACGAGCAGCAAGCGATGCCAGTAGATGAACATACACTGACGGTGGGCATGCATGTCCGACTGCATGTCCGTGTGCATCTCGATGAACTTGATGTACGCTCCAGAATCCATGGCGGCAGCCAGTGCTCCCTTGTACGTGTCTTTCTCAGCCGTCGTCAAGGCATCCCAGTCCTTTCGGATACGAGGTCCACAGTTCTGCGCTCTGACCTGGGAGAGGGTCGAGATAAGCACGCACATTGCGGCGCTCACCGCCCATGCAAGCTTCATGACTGACTTGTTTGGCTTTAGTCTCTCACGAAACAATGAGAGGTAGAGCCGATGGACAGCAAATCGGATAGTGAGACTTGTCCGGTCGAGCCTGACAGTCCTGTCTTCTTGCTACGACAAGAGCAAGCGTCAGTAAAAATAAATCTCCTCCACATGTGCAACAACGGTCATCATCAACGTCAGCTAATGCTGCGGAGAGTATAGCATCGCCAGGTGGTGTCTAGTGGCCAATGTCGGCTGGTGACTCCGATAAGAACTAATGTTGCATTCCTTCCTTTACTGAACGAGTTGTAGTGCTTTACAAGTCTTGATGTTAAACGTCTGAAGCTTGAGTGTTAGGATCTAAAAAGGAGGGAATGAAGCATCAGACTTAGTTGCAAGTGATCTGTACTGCGTGCAAAGCAGGTCGAAGCTAAGCATCGACTTGTGTTTAGTGAGGGTCGTACAAATACCACGACACCCGGTTGGATACCCAGGATTTGTGTACGTAATAATTCTGAATGGATTCGTACAAGCATTTTTCCACATGTTTGCGTGTAGTCGGAAAAGGCTTTGCCTACATCCCAGTCGACTGATTACAAAAGTTAGTCAGCTATGCATGCCTCGAGTTTTTTAACTGCTCCTGTAACGTGTTCTAGCATAGCGTATTGAACGCAAAGGTGGATCAATGGGCCACACCCGCCGCACCAGTTGCGTAGTCGGAAGCGTAAACAACGACAGCTCGTGTATTCTGTCAACAAGTAGAGCACCATCGTGTTTGGCCGGCTGGGGACAAATGTCTGCGCAACGCTCCGCCTTTACCGTGGGATCATGCCGCAATACGTCTATGAACTTCGTTTGTACGATCAAGTGTAGAGGGCGCGGTGGTCCTTTACACGTTCACATCGCCTGGAAGTGATGTACGTGCTAACTGGTATCGTTTTTGGGTGAGTGGGTATTTACCTCCACTTGGTGTCCATTTTGCCACCGGGGACAATCGAGAGACTGCATCCGCGATGACCAAAGTGTAGTTGCGTCATGGAAGCATGTGAAAAGTGACTTTGCCGTTACCATGTGGCAGACGGTTTCAGTGCATTTTTGCAGAGCAGCGAAGTGTAAGGAAGGGGTCTGCCTGAGTGTCAGTCAGTGTCGTCGGTGAGGTGTGATCTCTCGGACTCGCGATGAGCCAGAATCTAGGGACTTTGTGGATGATTGGGGTTACAAGAAGCGGCTCGACATACATCCTAACTACATTTCTGCTATCTCAAGGTGCACGTTGTCTACTGAGGAAGCAGGCGGCTCAAAAGAGTGGAGAGCTTTGGGCGAGAGCTAAAGTCAACCATCCATATTTTGCGCCATAACGTTGCCTATCAGTCAGTACTGCTCTGTTAAGCAGTACGGCAACATTCTACGCAACTACTTCATCCTTTGAACACCGACTGTCACGACGTCGGTGGAATACATGAACGCAAAATGGTGCTATACTCGTGATGGTCTCCCACAGACGACGACGCATGTACATCATATTGAAGTGACTAATTTCAGCTGGTTGTGAGGGTGCAGAAGCATCTCGCTCAACCAGTAATTGGCTCAAGTACTCGGGCACTCGATCGCTCCTTAGATGAGGGAAGATGTTTTGATGCGTTGTCCGTTCGTAGTTGTAATGCACATGTGTGACAGGTGTAGAGATAAGCTGCTAACTTACCATTTGTCGACTTGCAACGTTCTTATGCCACTCCGTGATTGCGTTGTCATCTCCATCACATGCAATAGGATCAACACAGCTCTCTTTTCAACTTACATTGCCACATTTGAACCTGGTGACAGTCTGCACCACAGCTGGTGGCGCCTGTTATCTAATCTGAATATGCAATGATGCTACCGAATCGGGCGGGTTTACCGCCTTTTCATTTGTGAATACCTGGCGTACAGCGGGATAGTCTGCATGTTACGCGATGTTGTCGATCATGATTGTGGTGATGTGTAGGTAAGGGTAGATGAATTGTTGCTATCACCTCAACCGTTTTATTGCAGCAGGGCACATCGTGGCACGAATGAATGTAGGGTAGTGCGCACATTTAGACATTTAGACTGCTGACACGAAGAACGATCATGCGAAAGTGAGTCTGTCGAAGGCCATCATCCAGGTTAAATTTTTGGGGTGGCCTGTGTTGATCGCGTGCATGCGTTTGCTTTGTACACTCGCTGTGGTACCGGCTGCATGAATTCGTTGCGAGCATTAGACCGGTGTCAGACACTGTCTCGGCTTAAGAGCAACAGCTTTGCGCTACATAAATTAGGGGCATAGGACATGTCGTACCTTTATCCCGAGTGTGCAGCGATACTTTTGCTCCGACAGGTCATGTCGTCAGGATCTGTGAAGGGGAGCAACGGTGTTGGAGCCATCTACTCTCGTTGCAGCGACACGCCGGCGATTCTAGGAGGCAGTCAGACACGTTCGGGTTTTACCGCGGAGTCTTAACCCAGCGATGCGTAGGAAGCGGTACAAGGAGCACTCGCGCCTGGCATGGAAATGTACGACGCCATATCTGCAGTCTTCATGTTGAAGACCCGATGTCGTTGCGACGTCACTGCGCGCAATCTCGATCGCCTAGAGGACCCAACACTGCCAAATGAAGCTCACACCATCAGGGTAAGATCCCAGCTTCGGTGCGGCTGGTACGTTCATGCGACTGCATATCTAGGTTTGTAGTGCTTGATGCCGAATCCTGGCTCAGGTGCTGTCTATCTTTCTGACTTCCTGACGAAGAGAACTTGGTGGGCCCTCTACAGCGGGAAATGTAAGTAGGAAGGCTTCTTTTCGCCTACCGTCTTTGACGATGAGTCCGGGAATAGTCTGGACCGGTCCGATTGGGATTCGTCATTGCAAGGTCCACATTCCGACGAACATTGCTGCGTTCTGTAGGTGGCGAGCAAGCTGAATCGAAGGTCATGTGTACGGTGTCCGTTAGAAAAAGCAGGCTTCTGCTTGCTGCTGTATGTCGTCACGAATAGAGCTTAATGCTTTCTCAGCTCAGGAACTATCACTGCCCGAGCACGCTGAGCTTGGTGTATATGCACTATCCGGCGAGAGCTCTGGCGACGATGAGACGTCGCCAGCTGGGTCCATTACTACCACATTTGAAATAACTTGGTGGATTGCGTGGCCAATATCGCAATAATCCTTGCGTTCTAGTTGAAGCGCATATATTGTCGAACCGCAGTGTCGCGAAGTTGCTTGCGGCATTTCTCGACAAAGACTTATCGACAAGGCAGCGATAAAAGCAAAGAAGAGCATTCATTGACCGGGACTGCCCCTAGATGATTTAAGATACCGCATTTTTGAGTTTGGACTGTACCAATTTTCCAATAGCTGAGATCAGAGACGTCGTTGCGATAGTAAACGTAATCGATCACATCGACTGCAGGATATCCAGCAAAGCCTTCGTCCGAGTGGACGGTTCGATGTGTATCACACGGACGCAATATGTGAAACGCAAGCATGTGCATAATGGTTAGTTCCTGGTCGCATATATGCTGCATTTTAATCTCGAAGCGCATCCGTTCGAAGTTCAGTTTGATGGCGCCCTAGATAGTATACAGCGGCATTGAGCGCCGGACGATCGACAGCCCTGTGCCGATCACAGGTGTCTGCGACCTATTAAGTAGTGCAAACACGATCTCGGGTAGATAATCGCATGAAGCCCACTACACCGTAGCTTGACACTTCGCTCAAAAGCGACAAGTCGGATGACCTCCCCTCTCCACAAACACAGCTAACGACACAATTGTCCAGTCGAAGGCATGACGCGCTTCGTGTCGCACAGGAAATTACCTCCTTGTTGTGCCGGTCGTGGATGCTGCAATTGCCCGTCCACTTTTTTTTGTATAGATGGTCTATTCACACGGATTAACAATGTGCAAGATCTCTAGTTTAGCCTAGGCCATGATGTCAGCGCCAAAGGATCCGGAGGCTGACATCAGGGCTGGCTCCAGTAATACCTGGTAGCTCTCTCGGTTCGTGTAGCCTACATTTTGGCACCCCTGATAGCCCAAGACACAGCTCCATGCTCTCGTGTCGTGATTGCGCGAAGTTTTGCAAATAAACGCAGCCCAAAGAGGGGTCGTGATGCTTGTGATGTCTCTCGTGGCTGCCTGATAGACGCGTTGTTCCTGTCAGCCCATAGCTTCATTTAACTAATCGTAAGAGAGTGCGTCCAATTAGCTTTCATGTAGGCTCAGCGGCTTCCCAATCCTACTAAACCCGTCTGCTAGGAGGGCATTCCGGTGCGCGGGTATGCTGACGACGCGTTTGCTGGCACACGTGCTGAAGAAGTGCTAGAATCCTGATGAGATGCACGCTCCCCTTCCAGTGTCCGAGCAGCTTGTTCCAACCAATTGCGGAGTATGCCCTGAACAAGTACACAATGCCCCCCCCCCGACAGCGTGGTTGTTTTTGGAGGTGTTGTTCTCGAGTCGCCCTGAACGGTACAAGTTGAGTTGCCTTAATATCTTGTACAGATCTTGAGAACCCGGACGGCCCCGACTATGATCCTGTACTCGCTCTGGTGGTCGTAAAGTGCCGTGCGTTACTAATCTTCCTGCCCCGCTCTACCTCCAGTCGGTCCGAGAAATTACACAGAGGACGGGTCTACACTCCCTTGTGAAATCCAAAGGCTTGCCGTTTGAGCACTGTTTCAATGGATCTGGTCCCGTACACCGTCAATACACGCCCTCGTCCCGTTGGTGCACCATTATGTTCCGCGTTGGATATTCTGCACGGGATCCGGTGCTCTACCTGCGATGACGCCTCCTGGGACATCGACAAAGCACAAGTCGATAGAAACGGGGAGTCTGACGAAGTCGCGGTGCCGGATTCGGGCACATGGTCATTCCTACGGCTATGGCTGGCAAGGAGCGAAGAAAAAATGGTGCCCACCGCTGTGATGTAGCTTCAGATTGAGGTCTGGATTAATTAGCAGCGTGGGTATCATCAGAACGAATTCCTCTGGCCTCATACGCGCCAGACCACGAAGTGCTTGTCCAATCGTTAGATAAGTCAAGGTATGCCTGGTTCGTTGTGTTTTGACTGCGGCCGACACGTGGGCAAGCCCGATACCTCCCGCATACCTAGGCACTATTACCAATAGCCCCGGCAGTTGCCTTTCTATAGCTTTGGTGCGAGTAGGTCAACTACACAGTATCGTGAAAAATCTTTTCACAAGAGTCTGCACTGTTTCTTCAGTCATAGCCAACACGTGACCACCGTATGGAATTGCATTTGTTCAGTAAGTCACAGTCGATACACAAATGTGGTATGGCGATTGCAGATTATGGACTGATTACCTGCTTATCGACATGTTGCGTTGTATAGTTTCTAGGACCAAAACACGATACCAACTTGCATACTTACAAACGTGACGTCCATCTTTTCCACCGAATCTAAAGCTGAATGATATGCCAGCGTTTTATGTTTTGATTGGGATGCGATCAAGATTAGTGACAACAACCAGATCAGGAAGTTGCTGCACGGTGTCGGTCAGCGCTTCCTGGATGTCTGTTCCTACTGAAACCCATGAATCCGATCCAGACGACGACCCCCACAGAGTCGTGTTTGAAGTCGAGTTTATCGCCTCAGTCGGCTCTGGGCAACCAAATCGAGCCTCCATAGCCTCGCGCCACGACTCGTACTGAATCGATAGCGACCCGTTGTTGATGGCGTCGACAATATGTTTACATCGCGGCTTCTTGGTTTTTGAAGCGGCCTTGAACTCCGGTGTATAGTCCTTCGTACCACCTAAACAATAGTTCTCAAACATGCAGGCTTGACGCTCGAGATCGTCCATGTTGTCGCGTGAGTCGCCCCCCATAGCCTCAAGAGTCTCGTCATACCAGTCCGCCACTTGCATTTCCGCGTCATCGGCGTAATGGTCTTCTCTCGAAGTGTTCGCATCGATCGCGTTGCCCCATTTGTCTACAATAACAACGTCTTCGTGACCATCGTCCTCACCTCTGTAGTCTGTTTCTGGGAAGCTGTTCTGCGAGGCGTAGTCGTTTCGGTCTTCATCAAGGTAGCTTTCATCTCCTGCCACCTCGCAGAGAGTCGGGGCTGAAGTATCATTTGTAGCAGCAGTTTCCTCCAGCCTTCGAGATCGAGGCGAGGCATCGCACTGCGTAAACATGGTGGCGACCTGGCCACTGACAGCGTATCCGTAGCTGCTTGCGCCTAGGTCTCGAACATCCATAAGACCCGCAAATTGATTCGGAACTCCCGTAAAGAACCGGCCTATTTGCGGATCGCTCGACCCCGGGATCGGATTTCGACCTCTTTCTCCTGTTCGCATCGTGATCGTGTCAGTCGGATGGAAGGCACCTGAGTCTCGACGAGTGCAAGAAGACCAAGCTAAAGAGTGTGACGCCTTCTGCTCGAAAGTAAGCCGGGTCGTCCCGACGCGGCACTTGTGGAAGATGACATGCAGCGAGTCGACCATGGCGTGGTGCGACCAGAAGATAGGGTCCGAAGGGGAAGCAAACGTGTCCATGGTACTGCCCAAGTTAGCGTGCACGTTGTTGTGGCACCCTTGTTCAATCGACGGCGACATTTGGCCGATGTTGGCGCCGTTGAAGATCTGAGCTCGCACCGAAGCATAGCCTGTAGTGCTGGGTACACGAGCAGTCGACCAGTCCCCTCGGGGGACACACCCGGCACATGCGGTACCCGTGAGGGAGTGGAGCTGGCAAAAGCGATCTACTGGCGGCAGGTTGACGCACCGCCCAGAGCTGTTGATCCCATTGATGGACAACGTGCGATGAGTGCCACTACTAGAGCCACCTAACTCCCCCATGATGGTCATGCAATTGCTAAACGAATTGCAAGCACCGGAAGTTACGCGTGCACTTGCAGCTATCCAGTTCATGTAAGGAATCGTCACACATGCGTATGCAGCGCCTTGGCCACGGAGCATATTTTCAAAAACGACTAGCAGCAAACGATGCCAGTAGACAAACATACACTGTCGATGAGCTTCCATCTCGGATCGCATCTCAGTGTGCATCTCGACGAACTTGATGTAGGCACCGGAGTCCATGGAAGCACGAATGGCATTTCGGTATGTGGTCTTCTCGATCGCCGTCATCATATCCCAATCTTTTCGAATACGAGGGCCGCACGATTGGGCTTCGATGAGGGTTAGTCTTGTGATCACTACGAACAGCCCGACACTCACAATTGATAGGATCTTCATTGTACGAGTTCGGGTCGAAGTCGACTATCGGAAGTGTCGACGACGGTGAGGACAAGAAAAATGAAAAATGATAACGTCTCCGTTACACGCACACCCATGAGGGGGAGGCTACCTTCATGAAGTAAAGGTAGCTGGTATGGCCCCAGGATGTTATTCGGGTGATCACCTGCAGAGCTGACGTGTAACGTACGTCGGTTCACCGAAGGGGTTTCGAGCGAGACAGCGAATGGTTTGCCCTCCACATAGTCATTTACCATTCTCGTATCGTGTTCAGAGCGCGATTACCAGAAGTTGTAATTTCGAAGTGTCGCGCGTAGGAAAGACGACGGGCTGCAACGATAATATCTGTCCGGCCAGAGGATCGAATGCTGGTTGATTATGGCAAAATGCCTGTAACCTTTGGACGTCTCAGCAAGCATTGCCAACGACTGCAAGCGGACGAAGAGATTCTTTCTGAAACAGATTTGTTGGCTGGAAGACATACAGACTGTAGGTATGTTGGTGAAGCCGTCGCGTTTACGTCAAGATGAGACCACGAAGTGCGGTACCTACCCTGCCTGGGTCATGATTCGCGCAAAGGTTTCAAAGTGTGCGGTCTGCGCGTCATACGTAAACTCATGGTGCGAAAAGCCTCTGAAGGTGTGCGTCGCAGCATACTACGCATTGTTACAATTGCTAAATATTACGCGAGGTCATTATTTGGCAAGGACTTGCTTGCCCTGAGATACCGCCTATCGTCTGGATACCAGGGTTGTGCATGGACCGGGGGTCAACATGCGTAAATGAAGTAGTGTCAGCCGTGCCACCCGGAGAACGATAGGAGCAGGACAGCATGCACATGAGCAAAGCAGAGTGCCCATTTTTGTGTGCCCATCACTCATCCTTGAAAAAGCGCTCCGCTGTCGCACATTCTGCGGCATGCGATCATCGTTCCAACTCGATTGGATCCTACCCATTGACATCGACATCATCTACGAGATGCTCAAAACTGTGCCCGCGGATAGGTTTCGGATATCAGGGATCTACTCAACATCCATACCTGCCCCTTGCGGCACTTCTTCAACGCGACATATGCCACATGCAGCATCGAGTGGATTCTTTACACCACGCTGCGGTCGTCGACGCTCCTTTAAGACCAAGGCATTCAGCATCAATTCGAACACCCCCTCGCGGTCGGACTTGCTTGGAATTGCGTCGTATATTGAGCTGGACGATTCATACACCCGGAATCATCACGTGGACACTATATTTCTCGGTCTCGGATCCGGACTTACGGCTCTTTGATCATTTTGTTGGTGTCTAATTATCCGCCATGGCTATACCCGCGTATCGCTCATTTAGACCTCTGCGTGTCCGCACACCGTCCTGAGCAGTTCGTTACGGTCCGGATCTTTCAATAGTTTGGTCCACAGACCAATTCCACGATAGTGATCGATCATGGTCGTTTATCGCCCGGGATGCGCGTCACGGTGCACTCCAGGCCGGATCCGCTGAATCAAGGACGACAAACTGCTCTCACGGGGGTAGAAATAAAAGACGTTCCCCCTCGCGCTGCGCTGGACAGAATAGTGGCAATATGGCAGAAACGTCTCATCCGCCAAAGCGCGCATCATAAATTTACACGCGCCATACTGGGCACCCCCACCCGCCACGGACGTGCTGATGTGATGGACGGGCGGCAGCTTGGCGGTCAGACAACCTGACGTCGCATAGGCTCTTATTTTGCTTACCTGAAAGGATATAGACGATATCCATGGGTCGACTGTTTAAAGGGCTCAGGTTTTTCATCGCATAGTGCTACGGACGTATAAAATTAGGACGTGCTCAATGAGCGCCCAGGATGCTCTTCTGTCAACAGTGATGCGACCCATCAGGGCGCTTTTCACATCTTTTGGACACGTCAAGAAGCCGGACCCCTTTATGAAACCTTCCTCGAGCCATGGAAGACGTTAGGACTCTACACAGCACGTGTACTCTAGCCAGACACGCATTCGTGATTCATTCGACTTCAGTACCACCCGGTGTCTGAGCCATCATTCACGAACGTTTTCGAATGCTTTCTCCGTCCACGAAGGACTTACTCCAAGCCGGGTATATGACGTCCTCCTCCAACACTGGAGGATTGATATAATCCAGGCGTTTCAGGCGACATGGAGGAGAAGATGCCGGAGAACCTCTCCTCATTTGGCTGACATCCGTTGTCGCGCGTCACTGTTGCTGGAAGGGCGACTTTAACGAGAGTCATTGACCATCACACATCAGACGCACGCCCACGCTACCGCTGATGCTCTACATCTAGCTGCAGATAAGCCTATTCGGCACTTATACGACCGCGTAGGGCTGAGTCTCCATCCCGCAGCTTAGTTCGTTGCGACAACGTTGAATCCGTGCTGTTTTTCTACGGCGGGGCTCGAGGCAATCCTGTACGAGGTGGATCTGGTTCGTTTAGTGTAAATGTCGTCTCGCATGCCATTCGGTCCCGTCTACACTATATGGCCAGCGTATCGTGCGCTGCCAAGGCCACTACGAACAATTACGCGGAATACAGAGGGCTACTTGCTTGGGCTACGCAAGGCGCTCTTCTACAATTTACGCGGGATTATCGTTTTTGGGGACGGTCAACTCATCCTCCAAGACATGCTGAGACGACAGCCACCTAAGGCATCACACTTACGTGACTTCTATGTCTGCATTGGACACATCATCTCCTTCAGTTTAACAAAATGGCAGGTACTTCGGCAAACATCGCTATGGACACTAAGACAAGTACCCAAGTGCTTGCTCCGGATTTTTAGCGGCCTTCTCCGGCTTGGCGAGTAGTTCTAGAATTTTCTTGAGGGGGACGTCAATTACTGAAGTTCTGTGTAGTCGCCTATGGCTCACTTTGAAGAGGAGCTTTAGATTATCTATCTAGGCACGTTCTTGTACCTGCACACACTAGCAACTACGTTGTTAGCTAGCTGCTGGGGGATGTGTAGGCTCTTAGTGGCAGAAAATTGGCAAGTCGCTAGATCACCTAATTACTGTAATCTACCTTTCATACAAAAGAGATGCTCAAATCTATGCGGTCGGAGATTCGGCTCGCTAACAAGTCATCGGTGATGGCAGTCAAGGTCTACAGGTTGGTATACTGACGCCATTGCTGTCTGTGTCAAGTTTCCCTAGGACTTGGATTGGACTGGGCGAGGACTTGACACATTTCGGTGCTACTTCTGGGCTGCGGATGAATGTCGCGACGTCTTTGACCAAGCAACTGTTAATTCTGATGCGGCCATATATGTCGGTGTGCTGCATGGTGTTCAGCTGCTGCAGGCTGGAGGGTGGTGATGGTATCTGTTGTTGTTCATTGAAGATGGTGTTACCTTTCGCAAAGGACAAGTGGAGCGACGGCTTGGTCGCAGTCGACTCACGCCTGTGTAGATGGCGTCACGGTTACGGACACCATCTGGAAGAGCGGGGTGATAGTCGTGCGGGGTCATACTGAGGTTTAGTGTCAGGTGGATGCTGGTGCTGTGGCTGATATGACATAGCTACTCCAGCGTCGTCTGAAAGAAGCATGCAGCACAGGTGGACCATTTCGTAATTGTCCTTTGGAAGAGGATCAGGATTCACGACGAGCGTTATGACAACGAGGGTCAGTGTGATCGTCCTCGCACTTCTCGGTTACTACTGCTACATACTTGCAATAGCGCCGCCTTTTTTAACGTTCACATCCTTGGTCAAGGGTTCTCATCCCTTCATTGTCATGTTTGCCCTCAAATTCAATACAAAAAACCCCTGTAATTTTGGATGTATTTGGGTCGAACTACATCGTTTCCCAAATCTGAGCTTTGAGGTTCCTGTAGAGGCCGTTCAAACGCTGATGTCAATCGAAACTAGGAGGGAGCACCAAGAAGATTGATAGAAAGGAAGCTGTACGGATGCACACCGGCTTTGCGGTACATCGAACCCATCGACCGTTTTTTAATTCTTTTTTAGGTGTAGTGGGTACATTCAGTAATTCTAATGACCGACGTCGCCCTTGTCGGTGGGACCTACACATCCCCGACCAAATGACCACGACTTAATGGGTTTTCTTGAGTCCTGCCAGTCCAAAATCCCGACTTTTCGATGTCAGGGGTTTATGCTTCTACGAGAGACCGAGCCCAGTGGTACCGGGGTTTTCCGGTGGTAAAACTGAGACGTACGTGTCACACATTATCTAGCGACCTTGAATTGATCGTACGGGGGATTGTAACGGGGCACCCTAAAGCTTGTACTGGTGACAGTACAAGCTACTTATTCTGATGACAGAATAAGGCGGTGCCTCGTAACTTCACGTACACTCGTACGTGCAGAGGAAGACGGTAAGGTGAAGCGAGTAATTGGTTAAAGTAAAAAGTAGAACTGTATTTATAATAGTTAATGTCTGCAATAAATCACTATTTATCTTCATCTAACTATGTCTAAATACAAATGTGTAAATCAGTTATCTGCTCACCACTCATTGCGTGCGTCTGTCGTGGCGCGTCTTCGTTGGTTGACATAATGGCCTATATCAACCAATTAGGAACTACTCGTAAGTGCTGCAGAATATTTGTCCTTATGACAATATTCTGAGAATATAACTCTTATAGTTATACTCTATTAACAATTTCTTATAAATTGTTATGTAACGATTCACCCCGTTACATCACCCCCCCTTAACCATCAGTCACTTTAGTGACTGATTGACTAAATGGATACTCGTCCCAAATCATTTGGGACAGGGTTTGCACTTGTTGGTCCGAGTCCACTTCCCAACATTTCATCGCATGGTTAACAAGCCCATGCGGTGCGCGAGCAAGGCCGCCGAGAGCGCGTCTGCACGTCTCTGTGCGGACGCCGAAGCAGAAACCACAGCAACTGATGTCTCATCGGTTGCTGAAGCGAACCAGCCTGTGCCACTTGGTGACGCAGGCGCTGGTCATGAAGACACTCATGTCTTCACAGAGTACGAGCTCGGTGTCTCGTACTCTCCTGATACGGAAGACGGTTCCGTATCGACGGCGATTGAATCCAAGCCGCCTGCCAAGCGTGGCATGGACGATGCTTTGCGTCGCAGCATCTTTGGTTCATCTGATGAATCAGATGAACCATCGCCGAAGCGAAGGCGCTCGAGGTCGCGAGACTCGGGCGCTAACAGTGGTGTCGGTTCTCCTATGGACACCACTTCACAGCGAGGTGCCAGTACTTCTGTCGGCACGTCGCAAGAAGAGCGGGACCGCAGTGTATTGCGTGCGTCTCGCTCCCGAAAAGAAAGCATGGCTGCCTCCAAATTCTGTCATGGATAGCTTGTCGGCGACGATGAGCGATCGTTATCGAACACGGTTGTTCGATTCGTCAAGGATCCATCACCTTGACCCCAGCGCGAAAAACTATCGCTCTGAGAATGATTTCTTCATCGATGCTTTCTTTAGACATCGATGGTACAGTGGGAATCACAAGCGTGATGGTCCCTCACTGCTTCAGGCGTGGAACGCCTACATCCATAACCTCGAGGATGTAGGTCGTGACGCTTGGAACGCCAAACTTATCAAAGCTCGTGATAAGTTTGAAAAGCGAACCCCGACAGGTGCACGCTACAAGCTGCATCGTCTGTCAAGGGAGAAAGGATTACCCTGCCTCTCTTGGGGAGACTCGTGCCCATGTTGTGTGAACAACTCTGCACGAGCACCTAAGGAGGCTTACCTCCTTACTAGCCCTTGGTGGCGCGTACGTATCTCTACTGAGATGTACGAAGGGATTGACAATCTGAAATCCCTTTACGACCGTGCCGGGAAGACTTTCTCCAGCGGTCCTTCTGCGGCACAGGATGCGCCGCGTCGTACTGCTCAACCAGACCCAGTACGTCGATCATCAGTTGGGAGCGGGGCTCCCAAGAATCCCAGGACGAGGGATAGCCGCGCCACCGGACGAGATAACTCGTCCGACGTCCGTTCACGTCGCGGTGGTTCAACAGCTGCTCAACTAGATAGCGCTGGCCACCGCGAGAGTCCTCTAATGGAGGTGGAGGAGGAGGAAAGACGCTCTCCACACGATCATGTGGATCGGTGTGTTCCCTAGAGCTTCTTTGATCGCGTAACGCAAGGGTTACGCGACGATCTCGAGCATGAGCGGGACAGGCGTCTCCAAATGGCGGACACTGCCTCGAAGCATCGAGCTGAGTTTGCCTTTGCTCAGCTTGAGAACGAGAGATCTCTGACGTCTCTTCGTGACGAGCTAAGGGTAGCTCGTGAGATTGTTGATCGGTCTCGGGATGAGATAGCTGCTCTTCAGACCCTTGTTGATGCCCACCATCGGGAGCACAAGGCTCTCTGCGAGATGCTTGAGCGCAAGGGCGTTCTTCATCGGAAGAAGCAGCGTACTGATGGTACGGCTTAGGCCGACCAACGTAAAACGAGGGATGCGTTCGCATCTTACATGGTAACTCGATCGTGTAAGTGTTGTCTAGGCGATGCAGTACACGAAATGGGCCGATTTAATTGGGTAGTAGTTTACTGCTACCCAAGTTAGTCACTACATGCTTTGGTAGATTAATCGTAGACAGTAGGACTAAGTCACCTTTATTAAATAAAATAGTGTTTCCCCTTCCATTCTTGTCAGCGTTTTGCTTTTGCTTGTCCACCGCTTCGGCGATGGAGTCTTGCACAAAACGGACTACCGTTTCACGAGCCAGTATGAACTCATCTGATGACTCGTTAGCTTCAGTGCGCTGTGAGCGCACTGCAGCAACATCAACCTTTTCTTCAGTGAGGGATTCCGCACTCTCACTGGCATCATCTTCTTCAGTGAGGGCTTCCGCACTCTCACTGGCATCATCTTCTTCGATATCGATGTTATCGATATCGGCATCAAACGCAATGACCTCTTCGTCAGAGCGTGATGAGCGTGAACCAAATCGGTTTTTGCTCGCGCGAGTCCATCCCCCCCTTAAACCAGAGTTACACTCTAGTAAGGTGGGTACACGCGGATGGCGCAAGCCATTCACGTAAAACGGTGTATGTGTCGTGGACGCATGAACCGAGTTGTCAATGGCAAACTCTACCATTGGCAAAAACTCACTCCAACTCTTAAAGGAGTGTACGTATCCTCGAAGTATTTCTTCAAGGACACGGTTGGCACGTTCCGTCTGACCATCTGACTCTGGATGATCAGATGTAGACATCTTCAAGCGCGTTCCGAGTGATTTGAACACGGAACGCCAGAAATCAGCAGTGAATCGTGGATCTCTGTCTGATACGAGTTCACGGGGCAACCCATGAAGTCGGAAGATGGTGTCAATAAAGACACAAGCACAGCCACTTGCCGTGATTGACTCTGGTACAGCCACAAGGTGTACCATTTTGCTGAATCTGTCAACAAATACGAGAATACCCGTATTCCCGCGTGCGTCTTTGGGTAACCCGAAGACGAAATCCATTGAGATGGATTCCCAGCACTCAGCCGGAACCGGTAGAGGCTGTAAAGGTGCACGCAGTGAAGGACTTGGCTTCAATCTTGGCAGACTTCGCATGTGCGAACATAATTTCGCACAAACTGATACAGGCGGGGCCAGTAAAAGTCTAGACTCACCGTGAGATATGTTTTCTCCCGGCCACGATGTCCTCCTATAGGAGCATCGTGATACTCGAACATGATCAGCAAACGCAGATCAGTATCATCTGGAATGACAACACGTGGTGTGTCACCAGAAACGGCTGTATATAATAAACCGTTACGAGTAGTGTATCGATCCGATGCAGATCGATACGCAGGCGACAATCGTTTCAACTATTCTCGAGATGGTTGGGAGAGATGTTTCAACAACTTCACAATCTCACCATCTTGGGCGTATGCCCGCCTCACATCATCATACAACGTTGTAGATGGGACTGAGGACGTCATAACCGCAACAGTGACTGTCTCACTGTTGGGTTTCGCGACTATTTCAAAGTCGGGACGACGTGAGAGTGCATCAGCGATGACATTAAGTCGTCCTGGTTTGTACTCGACCGTAAAGTTGTATTCCGCAAAGAATGACAACCACCGCGCCATTCGTTGTGAAAGGTGCGGGCTGTTCACTGCCGTGCGTAATGACGCATGGTCAGTGTAAACAATGAAGGGCCTATCTCCTAATAGATAGACTCTGAACTTCGCGAGTGCATACTTCATGGCAAGGAGTTCCTTGTTATGTACTGGATAGTTCCGCTCAGCTGGTTGCAGCTGACGCGACTGATAGCAGACGACGCGTTCAACGCCTTCAAGATCGTACTGCAGTAATGCACAGCCGATTGCGAAATCGCTGGCATCACAGACCACATGAAATGGCCTGTCCTGATCGGCTATTGCTAGGACTGGGGATTGTATCAAGCTCTGCTTGATACCCTCAAAGGAGCGCTGACATTCAGCGTTCCATAACCACCTCTCGTTCTTTTTCAACAAACGAGAGAGGTGCACAGTCATTTCGGCGTAATTGCGTGAATACTTATGCAAATACGCCGCTAGCCCAAGGAATTCTCGAAGACCTTTGACATCGACCGGCACAGGCCAGTCGGTGATCGCCTTGATCTTTTCGGGATCAGGACGTACACCGTTCTTACCAACGATGCACCCAAGAAGTGGTATTTCGCTTGCTGCAAATATACACGTCTTGAGGTTAGCATACAATTGATGCTTTCGCATGATTGTAAGAACCTGTCGGACGTGGTACCTGTGAACCTCAACGTCCGACTTTCCATCCATAGCTCGACTATGGATGAATGCGTCATCGAAATAACTCGGCGCGAATTCTCGTACTGGTCTCAACAGATGTGACACACATCTGTTGAACGTGGCAGGGGCATTACTAATCCCTTGTGTCATTACTAGACATTCCCAGAGCATGCCGCTAGGCGTGCTAACTGCGGTATAGGGTATATCCCGTTCCCGCATAAGGATTTGATAGAAGCCATCCATCAAATCCATGGACGAAAAGATGGTACTCTTTGACATACCATCAATGATTACGTCCTTCCTCGGTATCGGCGTCTGAGCCGGTACCGTTGCAGCGTTCAATTTGTTAAACGCGTGCACTATCCGCCACCCTCCTGTTGCTTTTCGCACACAGAAGGTCGGAGAGCTATGTGGGGAAGTTGATTCCCTCACATGGCCCGCTGCTAAACGATCGGCAAAGAACTTGTCGATCGCAAGTACTTGTTCACGAGGCAGTGGCCACTGCTTCATGACACAGTACTTCGAGCCTGGTTTAAGCTCGACTTCGTGTCGAATACCTTTATCCTTCGGTAATTCGCACGGAACAGTTTCAGGGAATACATCCTTGAATTCAACCAAATCTTCATAGAGAGGATTTTCCTTGAGCGATTCCCATGATTGGGACTCATATCGCTCAATTCGTGTCTTTTCATCTAGGACACTCTCGTCCATAGATGAACTACTGAGAACTCTCTCGTTCTCAGTAAACACTGTTGCTGACCTTATGTCGGTTACATACTCGTCTTCAGCGACGAGTATGCAGATCTGCTTGACTTTGCCACTACGCAGATCACGCAAGAATCTTTTATGTTCGAGCGTTGGCAACTGAGTGATCTCCGAAGTTAACTTCGGAGGCGCAATCAGATCAAGTGTATAAGCGCCTACACATGATCCGTTATTGACTATGACATTCAATGTCTCTGTCATTTCCTGGGGACTTATTCCCTCAGGCTTCGAAGGACTTATTCCTTCGTCTTCCCGGGTACTTATTCCCGCGGGTTTCGGGGAACTTATTTCCGCCGTATTTGTAATCTTGGGACTTATTCCCTTTACTTCCTCTAGCTGGGGTTGCGCAACCACAGCGAGATCCTCTACGAAAGACTCTCCAGTCGATCTAGGATTATCGTTTCGCTTAACCTGAGCGATCGATTGGTTTCTCTTCTAGATGTTCCTCGCTAGGGATACATCTTTGTCCCAGTCCACCCGACTTATTCGAGTGGTGGACCTTCGGCGCAGCCTGTGTTTCCTCACAGCCGCCGGAACTTTGCTCCGAAGTGTAACCGTTTGGTACACTAAGGTTTTGTGCAGTCGTACTAACGACCGTACCACAAGTGAGGCCATCGCACTCACTCGTAGTACATCCACACGCTTGTGGACTCTCCAAAACGTTCATCAGATGGCCATCTGATGAACAAGCGGCAGGCATCGTTACTGTCCGATGTTGCCAGTTTACCCGTGGTTCGTACCTTCTGAGCCACGGTATTCCAAGGATGACATCAAATTTGTCATCCAAATCCAATATGATAAAGTCATCGTCATATTGGGTATCTTCTAGCAAATAGCGGATCTTCACTATACGCTTCATGACGGTTACGGATGCGCCTGTCGCAAGACGTACGGTCATCCTCGTAGGAGGTGTGTCACATTCACTGAATTTAAAGTGACCATCTTCCAGCGATTGGCGTCGCACAAAATTATTGGACGCCCCACAATCGACTAGAGATCGAAGGGAAAACTTATTTGTCACTTCGAGTTTCATGGTAATGAGTGAGATCTCATTACCTAGAGCAGCAACGCACAACGTTTGTGTGTTGGGAGCAACCTTCATCAAGAGGCCTACAAATTCTCTTGACGTTGCTGGACCAGTAGGGTGCTCCGCACCTACTGATCCTGTCCCTTTTTGACGGTCCATCCCGTTGTTGCGTCTTTGCACCAACAGCGGACCCGCGTCCCTGCCCCTTTCTCATGGGTGGACGGTCACTACGCCCAGTGTCGCGAGACACTGGACGAGGGGCACTACACTCGTAAGCGTAGTGTCCTGTGTTTTGACATCTGTTGCATCTCTGCAACTACTTGTAGTCTGTAGAGCGAACCTTCTCGCTCTCTACATAACAGAGTTCCATCGGCTCTGGACCTCCGCTGTCATATCGTCTTGGTTGATGATATGATTTCGAGCTGGCGCGAGCCTGTCTCAGACTGAAGTCTTCCTGCTCCGCAATGGAAATGGCTTGTTCTAGTGAATCTAGTTCAAGCCAGAACAGGTGATTCTTGACGGGACCATCCGCAAGACCCTGCATGAACACCGAAACCAACGTGTGTTCATCCACCGGATTGGAACTTATACAACTCGTGAGATGTCGTATATGTTGAGCGTAAGCGTGCACATCACGCTTACCGTGTTTGAGCTTCAAGAGTTTAGTTCGAGCTCTGAACTCAGCTCTAGGCGGTTCAAACGTTTGTCTGAGCCGCGACTTGAAGACTTTCCAACGACCCAAACGCATATGGGTCGTGTAACTTGAGCCCCAGTGCCCAAGTCTTGGCACGTCCTGCCAGATTTGACTGGGCAAATGCAGCTTGCATATCCCCGTCGTCGATGCGACGCGCCCTTATGGCGTCATCCAATTCGACGAACCATCTCAAGAGGGAGTCTTCTTCGACTCCCCTATACTTGAAGATGTCAATCTTTAAGGTTTCGGGTCGACGCGAGTGCATCGACCCACCAGCAGCAGCCTGCTGCTGTCACAACAGTTCAAACTGTTGAGCACCCTGTTCTCTCAACAACTCTGCTTGTTGAAAACCTTGTTGGTGAAGCAAGGCTACTTTCTCGCGTTCAGCGTCAAGTTCATTTTGAATGAACTTGGCGATAGTAGCTTGTTGGGCATCTCTATTGAGAGCCTCTAGCATGACGCTAACAGCATGGATGCCCATGGTCGAACCCATTCGTTCAACCGCATCCCATTCGACATCGCTTAAATGGGAGTAGCCGTCACGCGTAGCGTGAAAGCTTTGGTCATCTTCATCATCCAACATATTCATGTTGGATGTGAACGCGGTCCTTGGACGGACTACGAAGTGCTACCAGGTGTAACGGGGCACCCTGAAGCTTGTACTGGTGACAGTACAAGCTACTTATTCTGGTGACAGAATAAGGCGGTGCCTCGTAACTTCACGTACACTCGTACGTGCAGAGGAAGACGGTAAGGTGAAGCGAGTAATTGGTTAAAGTAAAAAGTAGAACTGTATTTATAATAGTTAATGTCTGCAATAAATCACTATTTATCTTCATCTAACTATGTCTAAATACAAATGTGTAAATCAACTATCTGCTCACCACTCATTGCGTGCGTCTGTCGTGGCGCGTCTTCGTTGGTTGATATAATGGCCTATATCAACCAATTAGGAACTACTCGTAAGTGCTACAGAATATTTGTCCTTATGACAATATTCTGAGAATATAACTCTTATAGTTATATGCTATTAACAATTTCTTATAAATTGTTATGTAACGATTCACCCCGTTACAGGATAAATACAGCAATCATGTGACTGGAAGGGTGGTTCTTACCAAAGGCACCAGGGGGAAACCGCTTCGTCGACCGTTTTCGGGATCAAATTCAATACATAGCTTGACTGTCAATTCGACGCACAGAAGCTTGGACGTCTTCACAGCGGTGAAATAAACCAACGTTCATGTCGTACGAGAGGTTCACATCAGAGCACAGTAATTGACGACTCGTGTGAAAGTATAAACTTGTTTGATAGATTTTAGGACATGCGGTGTATAAAAGCACATTCGTAGCTGCAGGCTATAGGTGATTATTTTAAATATTTGTACAACAAGTGCAATGTCAGGTCAAAGTGTGAACCTATTACTGTGACCGTGCGCAAAGTTAACACTAAATTTTTTTGAACATCCTATGGTTTTGTGTGTTTCCATAAATCACGCTAAGTATACCTGACATGTTCGTTAAGCGATTTGGCCTTCCCTAGCCTTATAGGTAGGTAGGTTGTATGGCTAGGTCACTACTTGCGACCGCGTACAGAGTATATCCCACACACGGACCGGTGCCTGCACATGACCACATTAGATGACCAAGGGCGAACGAAGGGCAAACAGCAAGAAAAAACTCGATGCTCAGGGGAGCGAAAGTCTGGCAAATAGTAAAGAAAAAATATGATGAGGTTTTTAATCCGTAAGAAGTGTAGTCACCTTTCTCTCTCGGTGATTCGAATATTCCTAAATCATAAACAAACAATATCGTCGGTCGCATTTTGTTTCGACGGCGTTGCCGGGCAGAATCATCCTTCGTCCCCTTTTTTCAAATTCGACTTTCAAAACCTTAACAGCGCCAATGAGCATTATTACCATACGCATACACATACAGGAATCAACTACTACATTATCAACGCACCAGCTAATTCCAATGCCGCCAACCACGTGGAACAGCTAGCGAACCTTCAAAACTTGATTACGATCTCGAGGCTGAGATAATCATATTGTAACGGGGCACCCTTTGTTTAAATGCCACGGAGCTTCACGTACACCAGTACGTGCAGAGGAAGCTAATCTACTCAACAAATATGTTGAGTAAAGGGAATTAGAGAAAATGTATTTGCTGTTATTATGCTTTCAATTTAACTTTGATCTTTATCGAACTATATTAAACTACGTCGTCGTATGACGACAACCTGCTCATTACGCGCGTCTAGCAGCGATTGATGGCAACATATTGTTGATATGTCTTATATCAACCAATCTTGGAGTAGCGAATGAATATTATCCCACAAAGTGGATCATATCATATTTCTTCAATATTATCCATCCCGGGTAATATCGGTAGAATATTGTCGTGCTAGACAATATTCTTATTGACACCGTTTGGTGTCAGTTTAATGTAACGGGCTACCCCGTTACATCACCCCCTCCCCCTTAACCATCAATCACCCGTTGATTGAATTAGAATTGATCGGGACAGTGTGACCACCGTTGGATCACTCTGGGAAAGGGAGCACTTGTTGGTCAAATTCCATTCTTTTGCCAATCCAACGCGTGGTTTCCAAAACCACGCGAGCTGCTACTGCAGCAGCAAGAAAGGCGGCTGCAAGCATGCGTTCAACCGGAGAGAGTACTTCTCAAGCCTCAGCAGCAATTGATTCGTCGTCTAATGTTGTAAACAGTCCACGTGGTGAGTCACCACGTGCGACAGGCTACATCCGCTGCGTCTGCAGCGGGTACCGCGAATCGTAATCAAGACAATTTTGAGATACAGCTCATCTATTCCGGCGAGTCGGATGATGCATCCGACTCGAAGGCGACTCCTCACGCCCCGGGATCCCGAAGCGGACGCTGCAAAAGCCAGGTTGATTGGCTGTGGTCAGCGCGGGAGCATCACGAGCGAGATCTTCGGATCGAGTGTTTACTCCGATGAAACCTCGCCTCACGCAAATTAACCCAACGATAGGACGCGTGGAGATGGTGGTGATGCACCTATGCATTACTGCGGCTAAGCAACTCAAGGGATAGGGGTAATACTGGTGCCAGTGCTCATGCTGGCACCAATCTAGAGGCCAGGGACCGAAATGTCCTGCGCCACGCTCCTCATGTGGAGTCTCCGTGAATGCCGCCATCCAGAGAGTTATACCGGTTGGCCGGCACGACTACCGAACGGGATCAAATCCCGTTGTTCGACTGCAGAAGGATTTACCCACCTGATTCCAGCACGGAAACTATCCGTGTCGAGTAATAATTCTTCACCGATGCCTTTTTCAAACATCGGTGGTACAATGGCAGCCGTTTTCGGTACAGAAGGCCTTGGTGCAGGGATGGAATGCCCTCATCCACAACATCGAGTGCATTGGCCGTGAGGCCTGGCTCTCCAAACTTGATGCAGCTCGCATTAGGTTTGAGAAAAGCAACCCAGTCGGGGCGCAATACAAGTTGAACCGACTGTCAAGAGAGGCAAAATTACCTTTTCTACTGTGGGGTGAATCTTGTCCAGGTTGCCTGAACAACTTTGAATCGTGCCCCTAGGGAGTCCTCCCTCCCTAATGATCCCTACTGGAGGGCGCGCATCTCATCCGAGATGGCCAAAGAGATTGGCACTTTGAAATCCCTGTACTCGCGTTCGGGGAGGTCCTTTTCCGACAGCTTCTTTTCGAACGGAGCGAAAAGGCCTATTCAAATTTCTTGACGATACTAAGAACATTAACAATCAGCTAGCATGAGGCTCCCAGCTGTCCCAGGCCGGTGGATTAGCCACGCCAGCGGTCGAGGTAACTCTTCCAGACGCCATTCACATCGCGGTGGTTCAAGATACGCTTCACTAGGGAGCGTTGATTACCGCTTGAGTCCACCAAAGGATGTGGTGGCGGTGGGAACACCTGATCCGGCTCGAGGGTCGGATCAGCTTGGTTTTCAGGAGCTGAACCGTGTAACGGAACAGTTGCAAGATGAACTGGCTTATGAACGATCTCGGCGTTACGGGCTTGAGGATCTTGTAAGAGATAGTTACAATTTCCTAACGCACGATCGTTCGGACGATCGTGCCGCTTTTGCGTTCGCACGACTTGATATCTACCGTTTAGTTCGTTTTCTTCGTGACGAGATGGCTGCAGCTCGGCAGGACCTCGCCCAACTTCGTGACCAGGTTGCTTCGCTAGTCGACTAGACTGGCTAGTTGAAACGGCACCACTCGAGGGTGGTCTCGGCTCTTGACCGTGTAGTTGTTTCCGACTCTCGAAACGGGCTCGTACTGATAGTACAGGCGGAGACGTCCAACGTAAAACGTAGGATGCGTACGCATCTTACGGGGCAGTTCAATCGTGTATGCTTTGCCCATTCGGCGCAACACACGAGATGGACCAATGTACCTGGGCAGTAATTTACTGCTTCCTACGTTTGTCACTGCGTGTTTCGGTAAGTTTACTGCTGACAGCAAAACTTTATCTTTTTCGTTGAATGAAAGAATATTTGCTCTTCTCTGTTTGTCTGCGTTTCTCTTCTGTCTGTCTAATGCATCTGCAATAGAGTCTTGAGCGAAGCTGACAACCGCTCGCGAGTCAGCAGAAATTCCTCTAATTATTCATCCTTGTCAACAGCAGTTCGCTTCGTGTGCACTGCTAAAAGAACGTTGTCTTCACCAATGAGGGCGTCATCGTCCTCACTTTGGCGGTCATTGGCGATGCTGAATATGCCAGCATCGTCGTCATCATCATCATCGATATCGATCGCGTCGACATCGGAATCCATCACGTCGACACCATTGTCGACGGGTGATGAGCAAGAACCAGAACGGTTTTTGTTCGAGCGAGTCCACCCCCCCTAAACTAGAGTCACACTATAAGAAGGCGGGTAACCGTGGATGGCGTAGGCCATTCACGACGAACGGTGTATGCGAAGTCGACGCATGCTACGGGTTGCTGATGACGTTTTCCTCCATCGGCAAGAACTCACTCCAGCTCGTAAACGAGTGGACATACCCTCAAAGTATCTCTTCGAGAACGCGGTTGACGCGTTTCGTTTGGCCATCCGTTTCGGGATGGTCAGAAGTTGACATCGTCAAACGTGTTCCAAGTGAACGGAACACGGATTGCCAGAACTCCGCTGTGAATCGGGGGTCTCTGTCGAATACGAGTTCACGGGGCAACCCATGAAGTCGGAAGATAGTATCGATGAAGACACGCGCACAGCCATGGGCTGTGATTGACTCCGGTACAGCAACAAGATGTACCATCTTGCTGAACCGATCAACAAACACAAGAATACCAGTATTCTTGTGAACGTCTTTGGGAAAATTGAAGACGAAGTCCATCGATACGGACTGCCAACACTCGGAAGGAATCGGAAGAGACTGCAAGGGTGCGCGGGATGAAGGACTAGGCTTCACCCGTTGACAAAATTCGCAAGCGCGAATGTATCTCCGCACAAACTCATACTGGCGGGGCCAGTAGAAGTCACGACTAACCATGAGGTAAGTCTTTTCTCTACCGCGATGCCCACTGGTAGGGGCATCATGACACTCATACATGATGCGCAG